GGCACCGTGCAGGCCTCAGCAGACAGCAGGGTACCCCCAGTGCCCTACAGTGAGTCTCAGGGCACCGTGCAGGCCTCAGCAGCCAGGTGCTGTTTGTCTGACTTGTCAGCACACTAACGTTGAAAACCCTTTGTATAGGTACTGTGTGCTCCCTTGCTGTGTTGTTACTGCTGTGCGACTGTTGACGTGGAAAGACAGGACCTAGAGTTCATTGTCTCAGTCGTGTTTGACAGTCGGAGTTACAGATAGGTCGGGTTCTTTGTAGTCGTCAGAGGAGATGCCCCACTACACACTTTGTGTCCCCGTCTTTTTGAGACTCTTTATTTTGTATATTGGTTATGACATGATTTCAACTTTTGCTTAGGATTTATAGAATTTTAAAGCTAGGCTTAGAACTGTGCCTTGGATTTTAAGCTCCTTGAAAGGCACACTTTGAAGTTATATGGTGGTTTTAAGAAGAACGTAGCAGATAGTCCTTTTTAAATGTTGGCATGCCCACATTTCGGCCCATCTCAGTTTGTAGTGATGTTAGTATAGTTAGGCAATAACCAATTGTAGCCCTTCTTTATTTGACGTGGGGGGCGGGGTTTCTGCGTTCCTGTACAAACATCATTACTGGTGTGCTTAGATGGACTCTGTAAAGATTTTTTTTTTTGTTTCTTTTTGGTACTTAACGTTTTGTTGTTGTCTAAGAACGACGTCGATCAACTCCTGCCCCGAAGGAAGAGGAAAAGGTGAACGAAGAGCAGTGGTCTCTACGGGAAGTTGTTTTTGTTGAGGATGTCAAGAATGTTCCTGTCGGCAAGGTTCGTTGAGTACAGATGAGAGTTAGTTACTGACTGCCTCGTTTTAGTTACCTGAGGATGTTGATGGTTCGTGTCTGGACCCCTTTCTTCAAGGCAACCTTTAGATTGTCTCCTTCCAGGGTTCCTTTAGTCTCAATTTTGTGTCACTGACGGTGAAGAGATGATGCTGTGCTGTATTAGTCAAGGCTCTCTAGGGGAACAGAACACACACACACACACACACACACACACACACACACACACACACACACACACACACACACAGGATTTATTATAATGGCTTACAGCCTGTGGTCCAACTAATCCAGCAATGGCTATCAACCAACAGAAGGTCAAGAATTCAGTAGTTGTTCAGTCCATGAGGCTGGCTCCTAGCAGGTCTGCACTGGACTCCTGTGAGGAAGTGGGTTCTAATGCCAGGGAAGGCAAAGAGCCTGCCAGTGAGAGCACTTTGTTCTTCCCTAGCCTTTATGTAGGCTGCTAGCAGAAGGTGTATCTCATATTAAAGGTGGCTTTTCCTCCCTCAAAAGATCTGGATTACAGGGGCAGCTCCTCAGTTCTAAGATCCAGATTAAAAGTTGGTCTTCCCACTTAAAGTGATTTAATTAAGAAAAAATTCCTCACACGTGTACCCAGCCCCTTGAGTTTCAGTTAACTCCAGATGCAGTCAAGTTTTGACCACCAAGAATAGCCATCACATATGCCTTGAGCATTGGAGGGTGATGTTTTGTTTTTAGGTTAATTTGGGATAATTTTACATGTACAAAAAAGTTGAAGAGAGATACATTACTATTTTTTTTAAATAATATTATTTGTGAGGTGTGTGTGTGTATACTCACATGAGTGTGTACAAGTGTGTGTGTGTGTGTGCCTGTGTGCTGAATCCCTTGGAACTAGAGTTCCAGGCCCTTGCAGGATGCTTACTGTGTTACATATGCACTGGTCCTTATGATTATGAAGCATGTGCTCTCGGCTGCTAAGCCATTTCTGCTGCCCCGATAAACTGCTTTGGATACAGTCATTACTGGAGCTGTGAGACTGCAGACGGAGATAACTTGTAACATTAAGCATTGCTCTGTATGAACCACTTTGTGTTTTCTCCTCTTTTCCCCCTGAAGATTTTCCTTCTAAGAAGCCAAGTAAATAGAAGCCATTTGCTTGAATGCTATTAATTGATCCTTTTGTCCTTGGTCCATATTTTAAATATTCCTACAAGTAGAGAAAATCTGCAAAGTGAGGAGGTTTTTTTTAATCTCTTTTTGGTAGTTTTCTAAAATTGGATGACCTTTGGTTTTCATCTGTACATGATGGAAATGGATGATAACCAATATGGACACTTTCTACAGGCCTTTCTTAGGAAGGCTTTGTCATTAACTTCCGCGTCACTTGAGTTCACACTGGTGTAAACTCGTAAGTATTAAGTAGAAGAGTTGAGATTCAAATGTCCTGACTTGTCTGTCTGCATATGACCCCATCCCCAGTTTGACAGCAGTATGGCCACAAGTTACCTATCTGGAAATTTAAACTTATTAAATAAAACAACAACAACAATAATAATATGCCATGTCTTCAGTCATGCTAATCCCATTTGAAGAGCTTTGCAATTTTCTGGGCTGCTGACCTACATGGATGCAAAAAGGGCTAGGCTGGGTGTATCTGTAATCTCATCCCTTGGGAGGTAGAGGCAGAAGGATCCAGAAATTAGTCAAGGTCCCACTTAGCTGCATAGTGAAGACCAGCCTAGGATACATGACAAAGGAAACAAAGAACGTTCTATCACGTATGCTGCTGAGAGCCATAGAGAAGGAAGCTGAGAGGTCTGGTCAGGAGATGCTTGCACTCGTGATCATGGTCAGCAGTGGCTCTTTTAGTCTTGAATGTGGATGTGCCAGCAGGCTCAGGTTAATGTAACAACGTAGTGCTCATTGAGGATATGTACTTCTAAGGACTGAAGTGTCTTTAGTATTTAGCAGTAAGTCAGTTTGGAAAGCAGAATTTGCATGTTAATTTCATGGGAACTGTTTTTAATGGTTCCCCATTGTATCTGCCTCTTGTTTCCAGGTGCTGAAGGTGGACGGTGCCTATGTTGCTGTAAAGTTTCCAGGAACATCCAGTAACACGAACTGTCCGAACAGCTCTGGCCCGGATGCTGACCCTTCTTCGCTCCTGCAGGACTGCAGACTCCTTAGAATTGATGAACTGCAGGTATCTGCAGGGCTTCTCAGTGCACTCCGCGAGGACTCACAAACTCAGTTGGTTACAGGGAGAGCAGAATTCCCTTTGTCGTTGGCAGGTTGTCAAAACTGGTGGCACACCGAAAGTTCCTGACTGTTTTCAGAGGACCCCCAAAAAGCTGTGCATACCAGAGAAGACTGAAATCCTAGCAGTGAATGTGGACTCCAAAGGTGAGGGCTCAAGTCTTTCCACCTTACACCTGCTGCATCTGGGAACGGAATGAAGTTGTTTGGTGACTTCTTGCCCCGACATGTAGCATAATAGGTTAAATGTGCCTGATTTATTCACAACTGTTGTTGGAGAGGTAAAAATTTATAGATGCCAATTTTTCTTTTCATTTATGTGTCTTTGAAAGGTGTGCACGCTGTTTTGAAGACAGGAAACTGGGTACGGTACTGTATTTTTGATCTTGCTACAGGAAAAGCCGAACAAGAAAATAATTTCCCAACAAGCAGCACTGCTTTTCTTGGTCAGAATGAGAGGAATGTAGCTATTTTCACTGCTGGACAGGTAAGAGTCCATTTTACTTTATAAGAGCAGATACAAGACTGGCATCTTGTGCCACTTAGGTTTTGCCCATTAGAGAGTTAAAAATATTGAGCAAATTCTGTTATGAGAGTAGTTTATTTGAAAATAAATACACATATTGTAAAGTCAATATTGACTCTCACCCCTTTTTTTCCCTTCCTTTTTTTTGAGAGGAGGATTTGATAAGGATCTCTACCTTAGGCTGAATTTGAACTCCTGCTCACCCTCCTAAGTACTTAGAATTTTGGCAAGCATAGTCACAGTAGGTTTGTATAATTATTTTTGATTGGGATCAAGCATTATTATTTTTCATTCATTGTAGGAATCTCCTATTATTCTTCGAGATGGAAATGGTACTATCTACCCAATGGCCAAAGATTGCATGGGAGGAATCAGGGATCCTGACTGGCTTGATCTTCCACCAATTAGCAGTCTTGGGATGGGTGTGCATTCTTTAATAAATCTTCCTGCTAATTCAACAATTAAAAAGAAAGCTGCTATTATCATCATGGCTGTAGAGGTAATTTAACTTTGGAAAATAGACTCGGCATTTTAATTCAGAAGAAATACTGATATCTTGAAAATTCTTGTCCCTTCCCTATAAGAGCAAATAGTTTATTAATAGAACAGAGACAAGAAAAGTCAGTGATTATGTTATAATTTTGTTTAAAAAATAAAGGCATATATGCTGTTGGGATAGCACAGAGGTCAGGGATAAAAATCAGACTGACTGTATAGAAGACTTTTGAGGAAGTGGTATCTGTGAGCGACACGAGAGAGGATTGCTGTCTGTGGTACCAGGCGTCATCTTTAAGACTCTCATTAATGCTAGAAAAACACATTTAGCCAAGAGGTGAGAATTGTATTGGGTAGAGTAGCAGGTGGTCACCCTGGAGAGGGGGACACAGGGTGGCTTGTGTCCTTGCCTGAGGTTCCTGAACTGAATACCAATAGAAGAATTTTGAGGTGGTGAACAGCATTTTTATTTCAAAGATTAGTAACAAACTATTGGGGTTTTAGGGAAGAATGGACAGAAAAGAGATGTTAAAAGAGTCAGATAAAGGCTAGTGTATAGTCCAATTAGATACAAAGCAAACTTGAACTCTTGAAAATGGGAAAGAGGGACAGATTTGATAGACCTGAAGGAAGTAGAAACTGAAAAGCTTGTGACCTCTGTCACAACAGTCAGGGGAGAGCTGTGAGTGATGTGTTTGTGGTGGCGATAAGAACAGCTGGAGTAAAGGTAGAGATGAGGTTGCTACGGTGAAATGGCTGTTGGCTGTAGAAGTGGAGGGGATTTCACCAGACTCCGCAGTTTTAGCTGAGGTGGATTTAGGCAAAGGGGGATGGAGAGATGGGGTTAGGAGGTGTTGAAAAGGGGCTGTGTTGGGCAGCTTGGTGACTTGACCAGAAGGCAGAATTGTGGCTAAAAGGTGATACGGTTCTGGATATAGCTTAGATTTCATTTTGCAAGTAGAATCAGCAAAATTTGCTGATGGCTAAATGCAAGAGATCAAATTCAGAAAGAAAGCAAAAGGTCTTGTTTCTTTTTTGTTGTTGTTGATTCAAAATTATTTATTTGTTTGTTTTTGTGTCTGTCTGTGTGTGCCATGGAGCACATTTGGATGTCGGCACTCAAAGCTTTGTGGCGTTGGCTCTCTTCTTACTTGGGATCTAGAGGTGGAGCTAGAGTTGTCAGGATTCCACGACAAAGCACCTTGGACTGCTGAGCTGTCACAGCCCAGAGGGTTCCGAAAAGAAGCTGCTGTTTATGGAGGAGCATCTAAAGACATTTAGGAAGTCAGGGTTAGACGTGTGACCTTGAGGGGCGTCTGTCACACATCCATGTGGACAATGGAGAAGGAAAAAGAAAAACCTAAGCCAGAAAACTAAGAGATAGAACAAAATGCAGTGATTTGAATGTGGCATGAGCAGAGCTACAGATTTATTTGTTTTTTGTTTTTAATTCCCTGTGCTTATTGCTCTAGGGCAGCATAGCTAAGCATGGTGCTGATAGTGTGAGGCCATGTTAGGTCTAGCAGGTTGAGGATGAAAACCCCTGTAGAGTTGCTGATGCCAACCAAGTGACTAGTACACTGTGTATCATAGCAGTGTATTAACAAAATGAAAAAGTGTGTGTTGCTCAAGTGCTGTGCTTTGGGTTTTGGAGAGACTTGTGAGCATTGTGGCAGAAGTTTGCCCTGAGTGGTAGTTAATTCCACAGTGAAAGCAGCCTTTCTCACCTGTCCCAAGTACTTTTACGATTTACGTTCTCATGTGGACAGTGGCCCTTCTTCCCCATAAAGTTGGGGGAGGAAGACTTTATTGAGGCCGTTTCCTGGCAGATTGTCCTTGTCCTTGACCCTCTGTATTCCCATAGATATCTGCTTGTTTCTAGTAAAAGTTACAAATAATGAGCTTGCTTTTTAAGATAAAACAAGTGCTTTCTATTCTATTCAATGTTCCCTCTCTTTAGTTTTTTACTTGGTACTGTTTTTGTGTTTGTTTGTTTAAAAGATTTGTTTTTATATGTATACGAGTGTTTACAGGCATGTTTGTGCAGTGTGTGGATTCCTGGTGCCTGAGGAGGCCAAAGCAGAATGTCAGATCCCCTGGAACTGGAATTGCAGAGGGCTGTGGGTACTGGGAACTGAATCTGGGTTCTCTGCAAGAGCATCATGTGCTTTTACCTGCTGAGCCAAATTCTCTACCTCTGAAGTACTTCTTTGTGCTATGAGACAGCTAATGATATTTTCTGTGCACACGTTGGAGCACTGTTATGTCTTTGATAGTTAGATCTATTTTCTATTTTGGAAATTACACCCTATCACAATTCCTAAAGAGTTCAAAGTTTTGTGTTCCATGTAGCACACCATAAATAGACACCTTTATTATTGTGTGTACATGATTGGGGCGTGGTACTGGGAGGTCCATGTGGAAGTCAGAGGACAGCTTATGGGAGTTGGTTCTTTTCACCATGTGGGCATTGGGGATTGATTGAGCTCAGGTGGTCAGACTTGGTGGCAAGTGCTTTTGATCTACTGAGCCTTCTCCTGGGCCCGAAGTGTAACTTACAACCATGAGGTGAGAAGAAGTAAGTTGGAATAAAATGTACATCCTTTGTTTAATTGGCTGACAGTATTGTCAGTGTTCTAATTTGAGAGCTTGAGTAAATACCAGGGTGTCACTAAACATGGTGAGTTTATCATACCCCAGGCAAGCCCATTCAGTTCTAGCTGTATGACTGGTTTCCCATTAGCTGCAAAGTTGAGGTAGTTTTGAAAATTGAAAACATTTACTTAAGCATGTTTCACAGAAAGTTTCTACTCTTTTTAGTTGTCACCTACACACTATCCTTCTAGAATACAGATGAATTCAGCCACTTTTGCCAGGCCATTTGCAATCAATTTCTACTTATTTGAAGATTTGATTACATTATAGTGGCCATGAGGCATTTTTGATGTCTGCAATGTTGGACATGTTTGCTATTCATTTCATTGAAGTTTTTTTTTCCCCCTCTTTTGCCTGAGTACAGAAACAAACCTTAATGCAGCATATTCTTCGTTGTGACTATGAGGCCTGCCGACAGTATCTCATGAATCTTGAACAAGCAGTTGTTTTAGAGCAGAACCTACAGATGCTGCAGACCTTCATCAGCCACAGATGTGATGGGAATCGGAACATTCTGCATGCTTGTGTATCAGTTTGCTTTCCAACTAGCAATAAGGAAACTAAGGAAGAAGAGGGTAAGATTCAGAACCAAAACAAGGCCTTGGAAAGAACTTTAAGAAGAGAAATTGACAAATTCCTGTAGAGAACATATGTGCTTTTTACTTTATTTTATATAATCTGGAAGGTCTGACTTTGTCAGGTGGTAAAAATAATTCTAAAGGTCAGATACGGAAGCCAACAGTAAGTTTGATCTGTGTGTCTTGATTGTCTTTAATTCTGTGGATAATAAAGCTGAGATTGTTGACAGTAAATGAACTAATGAATTTTATAAGTACAAATGACTGTTTTAAAGAGTGCTTTTAATTCAGTGTACATGTCTGTGTCTGTGGATATGTGCACATGGGTGGGTACACGTGCCTGAGAAGACCAGAGGCATTGGATCCCCTGGAGCTGGACTTACAGGCAGCTGTGAGTCACGGTGCTGGGAACTGGACTCTGGCCCTCTGGAAGAGCAGTGAGTGTTTTTAATTGCTGGGACATCTCTCCGCTCCCTAAAATAATTCGTTTTTAATTTACATGTACGTATGTTCACCTGCGCACATGCGTGCCAGTGCTGGGGAGGGGGAAATGTTAGATCTCCAAGAGATGGGGTCACAGGTGAATGGAGCTGGGGAACTTGGGTCGCTGTAAGAGCAGCAAGTGCTCCTACCTGCTGCGCTGTCTGTCTCTCCAACCACCCCTTCCCTCCCCGAAATGAATTTACACATAGGAATGTGGTGTTCTCAGCCACCAGAAATGTTTGTCCTGTTGTTTGGAATGTAGAAAAAAAATAAGTTACTGGGTTGTTACATGTTTCTGAAAAGTAAGGTGGCTTTTTATTTTGGCCATGGCGTTTTTAATTGCCTAAATGATGAAGAACTTAAGTGCAACTTTGTAATTATTTTGAATTCTGCTGATGCTATTGCGGTAAGTGCATTTTGAATTGTGATTTGCAAGTTTCATTTTTATCTCATCAGAATTCCTGAGATTTGTTTATAAATACCATACATATAAACTAAGATGGATATACTAATGAGTGAGTCATTTTATTTCATTTTTTTACTTAATAGTTAAAGGTAAATTTGTGTCTACTTAGTTTATATGTTGTTGAAATGAGGCAGAATAAAGAAATAAAGGTCACAGTTCAATCTGTGTCATGGAGAATAGTTACCTGCTATATTAATTGAAGCACTAACACGGAGGAGTTAGTGTCGGCTGGCCAGTCCATACTATCAGTTGTTTTCAAAGTTTAAATCATCATGTTTTCCTCTTATGTTTCAGAGGCTGAGCGGTCAGAAAGAAATACATTTGCAGAAAGGCTTTCTGCTGTAGAGGCCATTGCAAATGCAATATCGGTTGTTTCAAGTAATGGCCCAGGTAATCGGGCTGGATCATCAAGTAGTCGAAGGTAATACAATTTTTACAAGGGAAATTTAATTGGAGGAAAAAGGTCCCAAGTACAGAAAGCAGTGTATCTCTTACTGTCTTGTGCATGAATTGGTGGGTCCTCTTTTGTTTGTTTTTGGCTTCTTCCAATAACACTGGGGAAATGTCTGATAACTAATTAGAGTCTGAACACTAGGATCTCTGACAATTGGTAAATGAGATGATTTCAAAACAGCTCCGACTTCATCATCTTTTGAATGTGTTCTGAACTTTTTATTCTTCTTAGGTAGTTGTTTTCTTTAGATGAAGAACAAGGAACACAGTAGAATCATTGACCAAAACAACAGCAGCAACAACAACAACAACAACAAAACCCAACCCTCAATCTTTTAATTTTCATATTGCTTATTTAGGTCCATTCCTCAGATGTCTTAATGATCTGGGAAGAAATAAAAGGCTGGTGTGTATTTTGAATGTTTGATTTTAAATTTTCAGGTATTCTGAGTTGTTGGGTGGATAATCCTTTATAACCTATGAAAATTGCTAGGTGTTGGATTAGATGATAAACAGACTCAGTAGTTTTCTGTAGGAGAAAGGATAAGTTTATTTTAGATAAGAGAGAGTCAAGCTTCCTGGTTGTTGACAAATGGCCTGTGAAAGCACTGCTCCCTGGGTAGTAGGTAGCGAGGCAGGTGGAGAAGCCTACTTCAGGCAAAAACACAGTTGGCCTGTTTTCTGCTACACACTCATCTTTCTCTTTCAAAATGGTTTTTTCTTCAATTGGCATTAGGAAAGCTACCAAGCTGATAGTTTTCCTGAGCTCAGAAAGATCTAAAAGTGAGACTTAACAACTCGGTGACCAAATTATAATTTTAAATAGTACAGAAACATGTATACTGTACAGAAGGGAAATTACTACCAGCTTACTTATCTAGAACTACATTAAGCAAAGCGTTTACTCTAAAATGGGAAGCAACTTAAATTCTTCATCAAGAAATTAGTCTCTGAATTATTTCAGGTATTTCATTTTCTCAGAGAAATTACAGGTGCCAATCACTTTGGACTCTGATATGGTTGGTCCAATGCCAATACTGCCATCTTTTTTCATATAAGGATTATTTTGAAGGCAAAGACTAAAAGGAGCTTCAAGAGTGGGCGATGCGTCACTCACAGAAATAAATTGGCAGAGTAAGCTCCTTTGAGGAATTTGCCGAAGATTCCACTGCAGTGCTCTTAACCAGTGCAAACTGAGGGCTGCGGTTGACCAGATGACAGCAGGAGGCTATTATCCGCGCCGGGCAGTAGGAAGTCACAGACTGCTTCACTGAAGTGAGCCTCCTCTATCCTACAGTGGAGTGTGTAGGCGATGCCTGCCCCTTGAGGAGTGTGCAGGCTGGGATTCCTGGGCTGTGAGCTCAGCACTGATGCAGTTTCACTGTTGAATGGAATACTGTAATGACGTCAGTGATGCTGTGACTCAAGTTTTGTTGTGTGACTCGATAGTTCCTGAGTACAAAGGGCAGATTTAGTGGAAAGCTTGATTGATGCATCTGATTACAGGTGTATATACTCTAGCGATTGTTAATCTGGAAGACACATGACCTTCACTTTTTTATCACAGTGTTATATTTGAACATGACTGGATTCTAAGGCTTCTGTAGCATGGATATAACGTGCTTACAAAGAGGAAATTACACCATCCTTGAATTCTTCCATATTGTCAGAAAACACGATGACTCCAGGCAAGCCTGTATGAAGGAAGAAATGTCAAAACTCTGAATCTTAGCAGCCAAGGTGGTACCTCCTCAGTATTGTCCTCAGCCACTGAGGATCCAGGTGAATCTCCATGAATTGTGTACAGCATCTTGAAGAATAATTTTCTTTTTGTTTTTGTTTTTTTATTTTTTTAAGAATCTGTATGAGGAGCTGGGCAATATACTAAAAAGTGTTCCCAAGACCTAATGAAGAAAAAGGTTAAGGACAATTTTTAAAAAATGACAAGGAATGACCCCCTCATTTAATATTGAATTGACTACGTCACAACAGCAAAGTTGGGAGTTACAAGTTCAAGATGAGACTTTGGTCCCAATTTCCTTCATTTATTCCTAATGTACTCTAAGCTAGAAGTTGGAGAATACCCCATGTGTCTGCTTTGGCCTATGCAGTGTTAAGTTTTAAAAAATCTGGATGCCTTTAGATGAACATGTATAACATGAACTTGGCAAAAAAACAAACAAACAAACAAACAAAAAAAAAACCACTAGTTTGCCACTTCAGGAATGAGCACTTTCCTTACCAAGCCCCAAACACATTTATTTCCAGGTTATTTGCAGTGCCTCCCTTTTTACTGCATCTTCCCATCTGGGCTTTGAGAACAACATGTTGGCACCCCAGCATCTGTCATCCCAGTGCATGTTCACTGGTGTGCTCTGCCGTGGGGAAGAAACCTGCTTTTTTCCCTCTGAGTGATAACTTTGAACAGAGAAGTGACTTTGACCGAAATAGTCATGGTACTCTGCTCCCTTCTGTCTTGAAAACCTTTCATCTTAAATTTCTAAATTGGGATGTAGGGGAGATTGTTCAATAGATATTTATAATAGTAAATCTTTTAAGAGGTAATACAAAATAAAACTTACTTGGGGGTCTTCCAGTGTTTGTTCCAAAAAGTACACCACAAATACGTTTCTAAAAAACGCATTCTGTTCCTCTTCAAAGAGACTGTCGTGCCCTTAAGTTTTTCTTATAAAAGCAAACGTATGTTGATATGGAAAAAACACATTTACTCAGAGATTAAATAGTTCTTATAGTTGGAGACTCCAAACATTAACAAGATCATTCAAGATTATTTATATTATGCTTCTCTCATAAATTATTAGGTCTTTCACAGTAGAAGTCATATCTTGGGATTATGGCTGCATGGGACAATGAAGTCACCATCTGTTATCTTGCCCTTATAATTGAGTTTCTGCTCTTTATTTAGAAGCTTTAAAACTTGTGGCTCAGTGGAGGGGTTTGTGCTCTTATCCTGAGCGAGATTGTGTGGCTGGATAAGCTTTTACTCAGGTACAGTACAGGTTTGTGTGCAGGAAGGCACTAGTTCCCCTATGAGGTCTTTGTGAGTAGTTATCTTTTTAGTGATGTAAACCACCTGTATAGTGTTCTTTCTTTCTATAGCAGGAAGAAAAACCAAATCAAGCCCTAGACAGTAACATTTTTAGTTTTACTAATTTCTTGAAGGTGTGAGCTGTACTGTTTGTTGAGGCTTTTTGTTTTGTTTTGTTGTTTTTTTGTTTTGGGGGTCTTTTTTGGTATTGAAAAATCTGAATTGTTCTTTGTTTTAAAATTGCTCATGTGGATATTAGTTTAATTACTTTTGAGTTCACAGAAAAGGGATTTAGTAGGCTAATAATCGTTTTGTACTAATCAGTTTTATTGATATTTGTTATTAATTTAATTTTTAGGAAATGGGACCGAAAACCTTTGTTGTAATGTTTAGCTCTAAATTTACCCTAAGTGTGTGAAAGATTATTTCTAATCTTCCTTCCCTGAAACTTTTGTTCCCTTAGCTCTAGTTTGTTGGGGGCGTCAGTTCTTTGAGTGTTACATGGGCACTAGACTCCTCCCTAGCGTTATTTCTACCCTCTGCTGACTCAGGCTGTGATCACAGATTGGCATGTGCACTCCATTTCCCTTGCCTGGGCTTCTCAGATGAGCACTTCTGTACACCTCCTGTCAGGTTAGACATGGTAATGAGTTCTGATTTTGTCCATGTCCTTCTAGTTTGAGATTACGGGAAATGATGAGACGGTCATTGAGAGCAGCTGGTTTGGGTAGACATGAGGCTGGAGCTTCATCCAGTGACCACCAGGATCCAGTTTCACCCCCCATAGCTCCCCCTAGTTGGGTTCCTGACCCACCTTCAATGGATCCTGGTAAGATCTCTTGTTTTATTTAGTGTTTAATAAAAAGGCAAGGTTGTGAAAGGAGAAATGACATTTTAGTGAAATTACTTTAAAAATTGTGATAGTAGAATGGTGAACGCTACAATTTGACTAGTTGAAAATTTGGTCTAAGGGGTTTGTTTTTTTTAGAATTTTCTCTGACATAATTTATTTCTATGTTGGTAAGAGGCTTGTTGATGGCCCCTTGATTGGTAATACATCAATATAAATAAATGATTGGCTCAGTGGATTTTCCATAGTCTGGAAAAGAAATTTCCATTTAACCTTTCTTTTTTGGATTTGACCCTTGGTTTGTGGAGAAAAACCTTAAGGCCTGTTAAGGGAAAGGTTAGGGGTATGTTGCCCATAATGATATGCATCCTGCTGTTCTGTTTACTGAAAGATGGTGACATTGATTTTATCCTGGCCCCCGCTGTGGGATCTCTTACCACAGCAGCGACTGGCAGTGGTCAAGGACCGAGCACCTCCACCATCCCAGGTAAGATCCGACTGCTGTCTTCTTGGGCTGACATACTACTGGATACATGTCTGAATAAAGTTCATACTTTGGTCCCAAGGATTCTGTTTTTCCTTGCTTAAAAAAAGTATTACATGCTACATAATCTTCCATGTATATAATATGGAGTATGGTGTTTGCATACATACATTAAGAAATCAGTTGAAATTTATAAAATGTGTTACTGTGCTTAAAGTATTTGTATTAAGTTAATTTGCTCTTAGGGATATTCTGGTGACTTATTCTATGCACCTGATAGGTTTTTCAGAACTCTCTTACTTTTGCTTAGTACTAAATGATTCTGCTTGATTACAGGTCCTTCCACAGAGCCTTCTGTGGTGGAGTCCAAGGACCGAAAGGCAAATGCTCACTTCATATTAAAATTGCTGTGCGACAGTGCAGTTCTGCAGCCTTACCTGCGAGAGCTCCTTTCTGCCAAGTAAGAAGCTTGACCACCTCTTCAGATGGATATTTAGCTCAGTGACTTCCTGTTTAAATTGATCTTGTGACATAGTAAAAGCAAAATCTATCAGTATATTTCTTCTGCTATATTAATACCACGTTTATGAATCATCAGTATCCAGCTATTAAATTTTCTTTAGTGGAAGAGGTATTTTCTACATCAGAGAATATACCCTGAATGAAGAAAAACCAGCTTTTATGTTAGTAGGATCAGAGTAAATGTTTCTCTGGGGAAAAAAAGCACAAAATGATGTTGACATGGGTAATGCATCACTTAGGAAGCTGAGGCAGGAGAATTGTGATCAGGGCCATCATAGACACAATAGTAAGATTATCTCTTTAACAGCGTCCAGAATAGGCTTTCTGTAACTGAAACAAAAATACAGTTGTGTGTTTCGAATGAACACTCTTTTCTAGTGAACAGAAAGATAATATCTGTTTGTGTTTTTCAGACAGTGTCTCACTGTGTAGTCTTGGCTGGCCTGGAACTCTGTAGGCCAGGCTGGCTATTCGTAGAGATCTGCTTGCCTCTGCCTCCCGAGTGCTGGTTTAAAGCTGTGAGCCATCACGCCTTTCTAAACTTTTTCATTTCAGGGATGCCAGAGGGATGACGCCATTTATGTCGGCTGTAAGCGGCCGGGCTTACCCTGCTGCCATTACCATCTTAGAGACAGCCCAGAAAATCGCGAAAGGTGAGTCACACAGCTCAGGATCCAAAGAAGCTGCTCACTTTTAACTTGAATAGATTCTCGTCACACTTATCAGTGCAGTTATTCAAACCATATTTCTGTGTATAAGTGATATAATTGAAACTATCAAGATAATTTTGTATGTATAAAATTTTGTTAGTACTTTTTTCAAATACATTTCTAATTTTTCATAAAGCAATTGGTTTGAATTTTTGATTACATTTTTAATTGATAATATAAAATCTTCTGAAAAGTAATACAGTGTTGCTTGTGCTTAGTTGATGGATATTATAAAAATTTATAGCAATAATGGACTGCCATATATTGCCATATAGCAGTAATAGACTACATCTGACTTTGAGTTCTTGCTTATAGCAAGAATTGAGGAATATCAGTTTCTGCCATTTAGTTCTTAAAAGATGAATTATCTTTTTTTTAAACACTGGTGTTAATAAATTGCAATATGGTTTATAATTTACTAAATAAAACACAGACTCAGAGTCTTGGTTTTTTGAGACAGTTTCTTACTATTTAGTATAGGCTAACCTCTAATTTGTGATCTCCTGCCTCCGCCTCTAGTGTGCTGGGATCACAGGTGTACACTGTCGGGTCTGACTAAGACTGGGTCTTAGCTACTGGACACAGGACTAAGGATTCTGGTGGCCAGAGTGTGTATTGTCATCACATGGAGTGACAGTCGAGTCAGTTGGAGTGTGTATTGTCATCACATGGAGTGACAGTCAGTTTTGCCTTTTTCCTCCAGAATTGGTTGGATTTTTTTTTATACATTGAGTTAAACAAATGATTTTCAAGTGTGTGGCTATTATGTATTCATGTATGTCTGTGCACCATGTGCGTGCCTGCTCAGGCCTTGAGTGGTTATTTGGTCTCAGCTATTGTGTGGGCGCTGGGTACCCTGCTGAGCATCCAGTGCGCTTAGCACTTGAGCCATCCATCTCCAGCTAGACTTTGGAAATTTCGACTACAAAAAATTTTAATTAATGTGAAGTGGCTTCTAATTTCACTGAATATGTTTTAGGGCTCCTCAGTTGTGGTTGTGATTAAGTCCTTTCCTGATAGATGAATTTCTGTGTTCTTAATATTTTAGCTGAAGTGTCCTCAAGTGAAAAAGAGGAAGATGTGTTTATGGGGATGGTTTGCCCATCAGGCACAAACCCCGATGACTCTCCTTTGTACGTCTTGTGCTGCAACGACACCTGCAGTTTTACGTGGACTGGAGCAGAGCACATCAACCAGGTGATGATGCTGACGTCTCCTTCGTTTCCTTCCCTCCTTCTTTAGAGGTAGAAGTGTGCATATAGGTCTGGTATTTTCTTTCCGTTTTAAAATAATTCAAAGAATTAATTTTGATTTGATTCCTACATAAATAAGGCAAAAAAAAGGATCATTCATTACTCAATTAAATATGGGAGATTGTGAGAATTAGGTCTTCGCAGGTGGTAAACTGTGATCCACGGCTCTTGATTCAGATTTTATAATTATTGTCTGAGATACAGATTATTTTGATGTACTAGTAGTATTTGGTTTTCATCCTTTGATGTTGTCAATTGTGCATTCATCATGTCCTCCTCGTTTCCCAAGCACCCTGCCATCACCCTGCATTAGCTGTGATTAAATTATAATGAGATACGCATGTAATGACTCTTGAAAAAGTGACCCCCATTGTAATTTCAGGACATCTTTGAATGCCGCACTTGCGGTTTACTGGAGTCGCTCTGTTGCTGTACAGAGTGTGCGAGGGTCTGTCACAAAGGCCACGACTGCAAGTAAGTCCAGTTGTGTTTATGTTTGCTCTCCTCGCGTTTCAGTTTATACGTGCAGAAATGTGGTTTTTGATTCTGTGTATTGTCAAATACTTGTTTTCTGTTATGTGTAGTCCTCCTTAAAAATAAGGAATGTGTGATTATTTTTTAAATGCTTTCATCTTTTATCCCTCAGCGGAGTCCTAGCTGGTTTTGTTAGTTTTCACAGACCTGCAGTAAAACTATGCAGCACCTGATGTCTGCAGTGTCTCCGTGTTACCAACGGGAACCCTACTATAAATAGCAACAATATGTGGATATCGTAGGTGATAGAAAGTGGCCATCAGAGCCCTCCATTTGGGCTTGCTGAGATGGATCAGCTGGTAAAGGCACTTACTCCAAATCTGATGCACCCGAGTTTGATCCCTTGGTTCACAGAATGCAAAGAGAGATTCGACTTGTAAATTGTCCTCTAACTCTTACACATGCTCTGTGGCACAAGTGTAGTACCTCTGTCCTTCACTCATGCTGCCCCATAAACAAACAGATGTAAAAATCATCTCAATTTCTGCATCGATGCCTAGTTGCACTATGTGTTTATTTGGTATACTCGCTGCCCTGCCTGGCTTCCAGGGCAGGTGAACCAGGTATTTCATGTTCTTTATAACGGTTAGAGGGTTTATAACGGATGCATATGGAGGGCCACCTAGGGTTCATTGGGGATTTGGGGCTTGAGGAATACAATAGAAGCGACTGTCCCAGGGCATTACAAGGTGCTGTTTTTTTTTTTTTTTTAATAAGAATTTTAGTGTTGCTTTCTGGATTTCACACCATGAAATAATCTTTCTTGTATGTACCTTTAACAGTTACACTTTGCATTTTAACACAAGCAAGTTTCATCATGTTGTAGCTCCTCATTTTAGTGTAGATCTCTATTTAAAGTTTTCCTATATATGAGCTTTTCTGTGAATTCTTACAGACTCAAGCGAACTTCACCAACAGCCTATTGTGATTGTTGGGAGAAATGTAAGTGTAAAACTCTGATTGCTGGACAGAAATCTGCTCGCCTTGATCTCCTTTATCGCCTGCTCACTGCTACAAATCTGGTCACCCTACCAAACAGCAGGCAAGTAGAATTCTTATAATGTGGAACAGGTAGAGGGAAAGAGCTCAGCACGTGCTGGTCCCTCTCACTCTCACATGTTCTGTTTCCAGGGGAGAGCACCTCTTGCTGTTCTTAGTACAGACTGTGGCCAGGCAGACAGTGGAACACTGTCAGTATAGGCCTCCACGAATCAGGGAGGACCGTAACCGGAAAACAGCCAGTCCTGAAGGTGAGTGCATTGAACAGTTGTAACTTGTGTGCACAGCAGTGGATTTTATTTTCGTCTGACCCACTCCCCCTTTTCAGATTCGGATATGCCTGATCACGACTTAGAGCCTCCAAGGTTTGCCCAGCTCGCACTGGAGCGAGTCCTGCAGGACTGGAATGCTTTAAGATCTATGATCATGTTTGGGTCACAGGAGAATAAAGACCCGTATGTATTTGTTAACACATTTTCAAGTGTCTCTGCTTCTGTGTTAACGATGCTTCCTGCAGTGTCTTCTCTCTCCTTGTCTTTTTCCAGTCTGAGTGCCAGCAGTAGGATAGGCCATCTGTTGCCAGAAGAGCAGGTCTACCTCAATCAGCAGAGTGGCACCATTCGGCTGGACTGTTTCACTCACTGCCTTATCGTCAAGTGTACAGCTGATATTTTGGTGAGTTCTTCGATTCTTTTTTTTTTTTTTTTTTTAATAATTTATTAACTTTATTTTATGTGCATTGGTATAACAGTGTCAGATCTCCAGGAACTGGAGTTTCAGACAGTTGTGAGCTCTCATGTGGGTGCTGGGAATTGAACCCGGGTCCTTTGGAAGAGCAGTCAGTGCTCTTAACCACTGAGCCATCTCTCCAGCCCCGAGTTCTTCGATTCTTAGCATCCTCCCCTGATTCTAAGACTTCATGCTGACAACTTCTGATTACAACCATTCAACCCTGTTCCCTCCAAACTTATCCTAAATAATTTAAAATAGCAGCATAAAGTTATGGTAAAATAATGCAAAATTAAGGAAGTAAAAATGTTTAGTGAATCTAACCATATAGACTTTTCCATCACAGCCTAGCCATTTACTGAAATGAAATACAACATGTTTTATATAAAGATTGTTATGAGCAGCATTAAGAAAAGACAAAAACAACACAAAATTGGGTATTTGTAGTTGATGTCTGTTTGATAAACTCTGCATAGGAAAGACTAGACACTAATGAATAGTTCAGTACATACAGAATTACAAATTTCATCACTAATTTGAGTCTCCTTTGCACTTTGGTAAGGGTGCTGTATGTAGTGAGCAAACTGTAGTCTTCTGTTTTTACATATTTGATCGTCTCATCTAAATAATCATGGTGAGTGTATGAAGGACTAGGGAACAAAGGCCGAGATAGTATAAATTGGATCCACGTCTGTCAGCCACACACAGGCAGTTGTGCGGCTTAACCACTAACTCCGTAAATGGTTTGCTTCCGTTTGTTTGAAGACTTGGTTATCCGGGCTGATAAGGTGGCTTAGCCACGATAAAGATACTGGCCCCCAAAATCTGCCAAGCTGAGGTCAGTCCCTGGCATCTACAAGTTTTCTCTGCCTTCCACACATGCGCACACACTTTCATATATACACACAAACAGAAATCATTTTTAACATTTTATTGGGAACCGTTAACATTTAAAAAGTATCAGTCTCTTGGCATTAATAGAATGATTACAACTTTTACAGCTTTTAGATACTCTGCTGGGCACCTTAGTGAAAGAACTCCAGAACAAATACACACCTGGACGCCGAGAAGAAGCAGTCGCTGTGACAATGAGGTTTCTACGGTCCGTGGCAAGAGTGTTTGTCATTCTTAGTGTGGAAATGGCTTCATCCAAAAAGAAAAAGTAAGGCACTAAAAAAAGGTTGGCACTCATTTTTAGTATGGTAATGTTAATATGAGTATGAGAGGACTCAGAGATTTCCGTTTTCCTTTCTGCTATAGCAATTTTATTCCACAGCCGATTGGAAAGTGCAAGCGTGTGTTCCAAGCACTGCTCCCTTACGCGGTAGAAGAGCTGTGCAATGTGGCCGAGTCTCTGATCGTCCCCGTCAGGATGGGGATTGCTCGCCCCACAGCCCCATTCACGCTGGCCAGCACTAGCATCGATGCCATGCAAGGCAGCGAAGAGCTGTTCTCGGTGGAACCATTGCCACCACGGCCGTCGTCAGATCAGTCGAGCAGGTATGGCAGGTCTTAGGATGGAGGTGTTCTGTTTGGATCATCAAAGCTGGCCTTTTGAGTAGCAATTTAAACAATTTTCCTCAAGTCTAATTTTGTTACCTTAGTGCAAGAATAATAACAGTTTGGTATATATCTGATCAGCATATATTAAAGCTGATTATCAGCAACAGAAAGCTAACAAACTCTTGGAAATGGAACACTGGCTACTAAGTGAAAAACGGACCAAGACAGAAATTAAGAAAGAAAATAATAATAGCCCTTTGGTGGTGGCACACGCCTTTAACTCCGGTACTCGGGAGGAAGAGGCAGGTGAATGTCTTGAGTACCAGGCCAGCCTGGTCTACAGATTGTTAAGGACAGCCAGGGCTACACAAAGAAACTCTGTCTCAAGAACAAAAACAAACAAAACAAACTATATTTGAGAGAGAGAGGGAGGGAGAGAGAGAGACTCACAGAAATCAGCCTGGCTCTGCCTCCCGAGTGCTGGGATTAAAGGTGTGCACTACCACTGCCCGGCCCTGATCTTTATTATTAAATAAGGTTTTTAACTGAAAAAGTTTCTTTTACTATGTCATTTACTTATTTTTTCAGGACAGGATTTCTTTGTATAGCCCTTGCTGCCATTGAAATCAGAGATCCACCTTCCCCTGCCTCTCCACATGCTGGAAATAAAGGTGTGCGACACCACTCCTGGCTCTTTGGCTTACTGAGACGGTTTATTGTCAGATTTCTACCAAGTCACATTTTACCTGACCCATCACTGTCTCACCACCGCCAAACTTGTAATTTCCTGAAAGATTTGTCAGTTAAATTCTACAACTTGTCAGGTGTACTCCATTGTCAAATGATTTGGTTAGCCCAGTCTCTCTAGACTTCATGTGATACTGATCCCAATACCCTGACAAGTTCTTAATTACTTAGTGTTGTTTAAAAACAAATTGTAGTTAGTACATTATATATATTGACTTTTGCTTTTTTGTATTGCTTCTAAGTCCCCCAACCCCTCACCCCTGCTGCCCCACAACAACACCCCAAGACCTGGTCTTTCTAACCCGGGCTAGCCTCAAACTCCTGGCAGTCCTTCACCTCAGCTCCCCCAACGCTGGGATGACATGTGCAAGCCGCCGTGCCTGGCAGAGTTAACTTTTAATATGGAAAATCGTATCACTTCACAGTGTTTAGAAATACCTTTTGGACTGGGCATGGTGCTGCACACCTGTGACCCCAGCACTTAGCAGGCAGAGGCAGGTGGGTCCTTTTTCTCTGGAAATCGTCTCTCAGCTTCTCCTGTGCCTCTGTAATAATGCGTCTGTTTCACCAGGTACTGAGCATCCTGGTTGGCAAGTACCGACTGCTTATATGGAGGTACTGCTAGCTTAGTTGGCTTTCAGATCATCCTTTGGTTCTCCTTTCTCAGGAGAACTGAGATGAGGAAAGACAACTGTTTTCCATCTTAACATCTCTTCTTTTTAATGTCGCTTAGCCCATTCCTGAATTACCAAGGACTATTATCACATCTCTAGTTTCTGGTCTGTTTAAATTTCACTTAGCAATTCTTTATTTTATGTGGGGGCACCTACCTGCCTTTTGTTGTTTCTATGTCAAGTTTTTTTTTTTCTCTTTTTCTTTTTCTTTCTTTTTTTTTTTTTTAGCTTATTTCTATCATTTAATAGTTATAGTACAAAGTGATATCGGAAGACAGATAACTTTTGTTAAAACATGCTATGAACAAATGCAATGAAACATATGAAATGATAACAATGAAAGATAAGGATGGAATGTATTCTATGTCAAGTTTTAAGAGAAGGGAATCTTTAAGCGCTCTACTTTTGGTTGTTCCTCTGTTTTAGGATAGGATTATAAATGAGTTAGAAACTAACAAATCAGTAGGTACGAAGCTGGTGCAGAATGGAAATTGTGCCTGTTGTTGGTGGGTGAATGTTGGTGGCAGTGCTTTTGCCATTGGCGGATGCTGGAGGACAGGAAGAATGTGAGGAATGAGCTACGTAAAGGATTCAGGGAGAAAGAGGCGTGCAGTGTGCTGCATTAGCCGTGACAGCTGTCCTCACTGCCTCCCGACTCCTTACAGCTCCAGTCAATCCCAGTCATCTTACATCATCCGGAATCCACAGCAGAGGCGCATCAGCCAGTCACAGCCTGTCAGAGGCCGAGATGAGGAACAGGATGATATTGTTTCAGCAGATGTGGAGGAGGTACTTTTCATTGTTTTAAATGCAGGTGACACACTTTGATTTGGTGGGAAGAGCAGTCACTGTCAATATTAACGGTAGTGTCCCATCCACCCTGTGGACTTGGTTACACTCATTTGTGGCTGTATGTATTGCAGTGAAGTCAGTAATCTTTCGTTTATTGAGTACCACGAAACTGGACATATAAACTTGTTTTTTACCTAAAAATTGAGAGTAAAGATATTCTCAATGTTAACATTAATTTTTAGTAGTTTAGTATTTGAAAAACAGGAAATTGGGATTTTATAATGGTTGAAGTACATAGAAAATTCAACCCTTTCCCTATTCTCTAGAACAGCTTTATACTTCTAATTTTAAGGTTCTGTTTATGGACTGAAATTATAAACTATGGAATATGTTGATAGAATTTTTGATACTAAATTTTCATTAGCAAATGAATTTTGAAGCTGCATAGTATAAACTTAGAATTCCTTATTTGAGAGTGCTCTGCATTTTATTTCACTAATTCTGTGAACAAAACTGGTAGAGATAGAGGTCTGCTATGTGCTGTAATTGTCTACAAATCAGATTGTGGATTTAGGTTGAGGTGGTGGAAGGCGTGGCTGGAGAGGAAGACCATCACGACGAACAGGAAGAACACGGGGAAGAAACTGCCGAGGCTGAGGGCCACCACGATGAGCATGATGAAGATGGTATGCAGGCTGTTTGCGAAGTTCTTAGTAGGAATAAATATGGTGCCTTGAAAGAGAGAAGCCTTACTTGCTCCATCGTTAACCAACTGACTTCTGCCAAGGCACTCTGCAGTGTCTTTTAAAGTTTTAGCAAGTAATATATACATAAACAAAATAATTCAAGTGCCACGCCCCTGCTCCCGCCCCCCACTCCCACCCTGTTTTTGTCTAAGGAACTTGTTTGAGTCATGGTCTCAGTATCCCGGGCTGAACTCAGACCCACAGAAAGAAGGGATGACCTTGAACTTCTCACCCTCCTGCTTCCACTTCCAGGTGCTGGTACTCTAGATGTGCATGACTCTGCCAAGTTTATTGATGGTGGGGATCCAGCCAGGACTTGGTGCATGCTAAGCAAGTGCTCTACCACCTGAACCACATCCCCAGCCTGCCGCCTTTTCTTTCATTCTTTCTTGTTTGGGGCTGGTGGATAGCTCAGTGGTAAGGCGTTGTTGTCCAGCCTGTGACCTGAGTTCAGTCCTAGGGACCTACACAGTGAAAGGAGAAAGCACACCGACACTAGTTGTCCTCTGACCTCTACACATAGGTCCATCTCATTGCCCTACCACACAAATAAATGTAATTAAAAAGTGGTCAGCCAGACATGGTGGCCCACGCCTTTAATTCCAGTACTTGGGAGGCAGGCTGATCTCTGCCGGATCTACAAAGCAAGTTCCTGGACAACCAGGGCTGTTACACAAAGAAACCTTGTCTCGAACCCCCAGCCCCAAAAACAAACCAAAAATCTGTCTGTTTAATGTGTGTATGGTCTGTGAGTTCAAGCATGCGTGTGCACAGCTTGTGTGTGGAGGCCAGCGGCAGTTGAGCACTTTCTCTGTCTTGCCGCTTTGTGAGATCTGCTGACGGATCTCAGATCTCAGAGCTTACACTAGGGCCTGTGCCCACTGGGTCATCTCACTGGCCCACTAGTCCTGTTTCCTTCAAAAATATCAACACTCTGGAAGCTGAGGCAGGATGGATTGATTGATTGATTTTTCTTTCTCTCTTCCTCCCCCCCGCCCCCAACCGAGACAGGGTTTCTCTGTGTAGTCCTGGCTGTCCTAGAACTCGATCTGTAGACCAGGCTGGCCTTGAACTCACAGAGATCCGCCTGCCTCTGCCTCCTGAGTGCTGGGATTAAAGGCGTGCACCACCACCGCCCGGCTTGAGGCAGGATTTCTAATTTAGGCCTGCCTGGGCTGCATAGCAAGAACTGATTCCCCTCACCTCTAAAATAAATTAATCGTACTTGAACAAAGAACTTTGTGGTGGTGAGAAAGGAAAACAATCTCCCCAAGAGAGTAACGCTGTGTGCTCTGTGTTCCCTGTGCAGGCTCTCTAAAAGATCAGGTCATCTGTGTGGCTTTATGTTGACGGAACTCAACTGTATTATTATGATTTTATGTATCTTGACGTGTTACCGTGAAATACAAAGAACGGCTGTTTTAAGTTCTCTTTTGAAGTCAAGTAGATGACAATAGGACGGATGGATTGTGGGTGCTGCCCAGACACCAAGGCTCTGTGGGAGACGCATTGCTGTGTAAAGCTCACTCAGGTCCCCATCGCTGAGCAGCCAGTATCCTCCTGAAGCAGAGCTGCCATCCAGCTCCCTGGGGTTTCCCGCCTGCCTTCCTTCCCAGTGTGCTTCCTAGTTCCTACCCTAGGGGATGCTGGCCTCTCGGACCTGTCTTGATTGTTTGGTGAACTGTTTCTCCCTTCTTGTTTACTCCTTTTCTAGGAAGTGACATGGAGCTGGATCTGTTGGCAGCTGCAGAGACGGAAAGTGACAGTGAAAGTAACCATAGTAACCAGGACAACGCCAGTGGGCGCAGAAGTGTGGTCACCGCGGCCACGGCTGGCTCGGAAGCAGGTATGTCGTCACCGGAGAATGGCGCTGGCCTGCGACTCCTGGAGGGAGGGGTTCGTGTGGGGAGCGGGAGCTGTTGCGTACTTTTCCTTCTTTTTCTGCACTGTTCTTGTCAGTCAGCTTTTGTTTCTTCAGTCATGGATTAACCTTAACATTTATTTATTTGAGAGGGTTATGTTCTAATTAAACTATTTTATGGTGGCTTTTCAGTATTATATATCATCTGGTGCTGTTAAATATAGTATTTTCTTGAATGAGGTGAACATGGCTAAGTTAATTATCAATGAACTTAACAGTGTATTTTGTTTTAAAATTTATAACTTTAGGAGCAAGCAGTGTCCCTGCCTTTTTCTCTGAAGACGACTCTCAGTCCAATGACTCGAGTGACTCTGACAGCAGTAGCAGTCAGAGTGACGACATAGAGCAGGAGACCTTCATGCTCGATGAACCCTTAGAAAGGAGCACCACTAGCTCCCACGCAAATGGCGCTGCCCAGGCCCCTCGCTCCATGCAGTGGGCTGTCCGGAATACGCAACATCAGCGAGCGGCTAGCACAGTGCCGTCCAGTACATCTACACCAGCAGGCAAGTCTGGAACTCAGTGTTAATCTTAGGAGCCATTCGCTATCCAGAAAACTACATAGTGTGGAAACGCCTTTTGTTGAGTTTCAAATATAAGAAGTACATAAATAAACTTGATGATAGTAAGATTTCTTAATCTTTGCATTATTGCTTCTTTTGGACTGGATAATAATTATTATTGCCAGCTCTCTTGTGCATTGTAGGATGTTCAATTACATCCCTAGCCTCTACCTGGTAGAGGCCACCATTCATTCCACCAAGCCCTGCTTCCTCTCTCCTCCCCCGGCTCTAACACCACACTGCCAGTGCTTCCTTTGGTGCGGTCATGAAGTACAAAGTCACTCCTGGCTGAAGCAGTTCTTGCCCACCTTAATCCTTTCCTCCCAGTTCTCTAGTTGTGGTGCACTTTTTTGCTCACGTACATATTGTTGGTTGGTCATTTAGATTTGTGTGAGCACACACAGTGACAGTAGCAGTTAGCAACTGCGTTAGCTCATTGTAATTGTCTTTTTCCTTATAGCCAGTTCCGCGGGCTTGATTTATATTGATCCTTCAAATTTACGCCGGAGCGGCACCATCAGCACAAGTGCTGCAGCTGCAGCAGCTGCTTTGGAAGCTAGCAATGCCAGCAGCTACTTAACCTCTGCAAGCAGCTTAGCCAGGGCTTACAGCATTGTCGTCAGGCAGATCTCGGACCTGATGGGCCTCATCCCGAAGTATAACCACCTGGTGTACTCGCAGATTCCAGCAGCCGTGAAACTGACTTACCAAGATGCAGTCAACTTACAGGTATGAAACCATGCCAAGTTGCTTCTTACAGTGTTTTGCCCATCAATTAGGAGAATTTCAACATAATGGGAATGTTACAAATGCTTAAATGTTGACATACTATTGCTGTATCAAATTTAGCTTTGTTTGGATAGTTTTGACTATTTTAGTTTGATCTTCATAGAACTATGTAGAAGAAAAGCTTATTCCCACGTGGAACTGGATGGTCAGTATTATGGATTCTACTGAAGCTCAATTACGTTATGGTTCTGCATTAGCATCTGCTGGTGATCCAGGACATCCAAATCATCCCCTTCATGCCTCTCAGAATTCAGCTCGAAGAGAGAGGATGACTGCACGAGAAGAGGCCAGTTTAAGGACTCTTGAAGGCAGACGGTATGAAATTCTCTCTCCATGTGCATCTGTGCGTTGAGTCGGCCCCTAAGGCCTAGGTTAGAGCTGTTAGATTGTTGTTCCATTTGACCTCGTCTTTTTGTAAAGGAGAACTGTCTTACGTTACTGGTTTTTGATAGACAGTTGAAGCAAAATACTTTTTAGCCAGGTTATTATTATTTTTTTTAAATCCATTCATGTCATCATAGGAATCTATTCTTAAAAATTATTGTTAGCCTATGTCCTTATTTCCAAATGTTCTGTTTGTTTCTCTGCCTCTTTATAAGGCATATATTTCTGGAAAGACTTGTTTTTGACTAGAACTGAGCATGAATGAAATTTGTACTTAAAGCGAGTGTGGTTGTCAATGCTATGCTTTACTTTTACAACACACATCCCCCCCCCTCCCCCCATCCAGTTAACTCTAAAGTATCTTTATGTCTTTATTATGCATTTCCTGTTCAGTTATAAAGTAGCACTTTTCAGGACTGGGAATCAGCCCGACATTGAAGTCAAGAGGAATAGCTGTGCCATCTAGTGGAAATGACGGGTCTGCAATCAGTCTGCAGATGCCTGGCAGTCAAAACAGTGAGAGAGGCCAGAGGTCGGGGGGACTGTTAAGAGAGGAAGAGACGCAGGAAAACATGGTTGAAACAGGAGTGGGGTGGGGTGGGGCGGGGCAAGATTTATATTTTATACTTGATTCTAAGATAAGGAAATTGAAAATAATTTCTTAATAGGAAAATTAGAAAAATCTAGGAATAGAATTCACATACTTAGCTTTGAACATTTGGGAGTTGGGAACACATTTATTGGATGGGCTGGTTGATAGAGCTATCTGCACTAGGAGAGATTTGGTAGGCAGCCGTTTTTCTGTTCTAGGAGTTCGGCTCCACAGAAGGACAGGTTGTTTGGCTTTCTCGGCCTTCAGTCAGTCGCTCTAAAATGACAGTTTTCTGTGACTGAAGAGAGCTTAGTGATGAACAACAGGGGTTTTGCAGAGATCCTGGGTTCAGTTCCTAGCTCACACGTGGCAGCTTACAATCATCTGTAACTCTAGTTCCAGGAGATCAGACACCCTCTTCCGACCTCCTGGGCAGTGTGCCCACCCACGTACACAGTCTATAGTCAGGCAAACACTCACATACATAAAGTACTCTTAAACAAAACAAACACAGGATTCTGATGTGATCATCTTCTGCCCTTTCCCAGCCTTGATCATTATTACATTATAATCATGTAGTATGTATATAATTTACTCTTTCAAAGTGTATGATTCATTGACTCACTACAAATTTGGAACATTTTCATCATCTCCTTAGGAAATCTTACACACCTATCCTGTGGTCATTCCTATCCTGTTTTCTATCTGTAGATTCTGAACATATTATGTAAATAAAGTCATTTAATACATGGTCTTTTAGGACTGGCTTCTGTCACTTAACACAATGGCTTTTTGGCTCAACCATGTTTAACATGTGTCAATAACTCAAAAATGTTCTGACAGTTGGTTAAAAATGTTAATCATTCACCAACTGGCATTTGGAGTATTACTACCTTTCCAGTGTTGTGCATGATGTTGCACATTTCCATAAAGGTTTTGTGTGGACAAGTAGTTTGGTATTTTACCTAGTTGTAAAATTGCTAGGTCATATGGTAATGGTAAATGTTTAACATTTGAGACACTAGCAGACTTTTCCTAAAAGGGAAATCCTCTGAAGAGCAGCATCTGAGAGAGCTTTAGTTTCTCTCTATCCTTCCCTTCCCCACCCCCTTTCTGGCCCAAATGGAACTGTGCAGCAGAGGACGGCCTTGAACTTGTGCTCTTCCAGCCTCTACCTCGAATGTGCTAGGTCTAGATCACCCAGACCATGGTTATCATTTTCTCTGTATCTTTTTGATTGTAGCTACTCTTGTGGGTGTGATGTAGCATTGAACTTGGAATCCTCCTGCGAGGGGTGGGGACACTTCAGATTGCACATCATTGTGTTGATTTCTGGTGATGCTGGAGTATTTGAATGTGCTCTTTGGTAGTTTTCCCTTTGTCTGCATAGCTCTTTGCACAGCTGTAAATTGCCTCTTTTAGTTTTGATTTAGTTCTGAGTTTATATGTTTTGGGTAAGAATTCCTTATCAAGCAGTCTATTCAAAGATTCTTATCCCTCCTCACTTTTTTGTTTTTAAATGTGTATGTGCATGAGTAAATGTCACTTCTTGCATTGATAGAGGGTACCAGATCTTTTGGAGCTGGAGTTAATGGCAGTTTGTGTTGCCTTCCTATGCATTTGAAGATAAAAATTTGCTCATGTAGCAGCCTGGTGTCAATCACATTTGCTAGATAGCCCTGACCTACTTCACGCTCCATTCTTGAGCCTCCCATATCCCATTCCCAACATTGGATGTTATTTTTAGGCCATCTCTCAGTGTGCTTTTCTATCGCTGAGATAAAACACCATGACCATGTGTTAGCGAGGATCTTACAGCTGATGGAGCCCAGTATCCAGGGAAGCCAGGGTAGGCACTCAGAGCAGGAACCAGGAGGCAGGAACCTGATACAGAAGCCTTGGGAGGAGAGTGCTGCTTACTGGCTTGCTTATGGCTTGCTCAGTCTGCTCTCTTATAGCACCTTGGGGTGGCACAGTGCACAGTGTGCTGGACCCTCCCACATCAAACAGAGGTGAGGAAACGACTCCACAAGCTTACACATAGGCTAATCTGATGGGGCTGTTTTGATGAGTCTTTCTTCCTAAATGACTGGCGTATGTCAAGTTGACACAAAAACTAGCCACCACAGGTAGTGCTTCTCGATGAGTCCCAGAAACGCCAGCAGTGGCCTTAGCTGACAACTTGTTAGAAATGCAAATCCAGACCTAGTAAGACTGGTAGTTAGGGACCCTGAAGTGTAGGGCTATAAATCATAAACCTTTAAATTCTCTATTTTCTTTTTATGATTTATTTAACTTTATGTTTGAGTGTTTTACACATGTGCAGTACCCGGGGAAGCAATAAGAGGGTGTCAGAGCCCCCTGGAAATGGAGTTATGGGTGGTTGTTAGGAACTGAACCTAGGTCTTCTGCAAGAGTAGCAAGTGCTCTTAACTGATGAGCCATCTCAAGTTTTCATATGTGTGAGAGTTCATATTTGTGGGTTTTGTAAACATCTTTTGTTGTTGTTGTTGTCCTATAGACGTGCCACATTGCTTAGTGCCCGCCAGGGGATGATGTCTGCTCGCGGAGATTTTCTCAATTACGCTCTTTCTTTAATGAGATCTCATAATGATGAGCATTCGGATGTTCTTCCCGTGTTGGATGTGTGTTCATTGAAACATGTGGCGTATGTTTTCCAAGCCCTCATATATTGGATTAAAGCAATGAATCAACAGACAACATTGGACACCCCTCAACTGGAACGCAAAAGGTATGCTCATACTTTCCGTGAGTCTTGTTTGAGAACTACTTATTTGGTGTGGTCTCTAAGTTTGGATTAAGGAGATTAGCACTGCAAAAGAGAACAAAGATATTTTATGTAGGAAAGAAACCTCTGTCTAACTGTTCTGTTATTATTTCCCACTTAAGATGAAAATCCAAGAATCCAGTTAAATTTATTTGGTGAGATCTTGTCATATTTTGGATGAGAGTTTATGTAGACACTCAGTATTTAGTGATTTTTATTTATTTACTTATTTATTTTGCCTTCTGTTGAGCCTATCTTGTTACTATGAATTAGGCAGATCATTTTACAATTTCCCATTATCTGAAATTGTATAGTAGTGTTAGGTGTGAGTTAGATTCCAGGGTGAGGTGTCAGATGGTAAAGGTGTTTGCCTAACCACTCGAGAGAGACCCAACTCCTGCAGATTGTTCTCTGACGTCCATGTGTATGCCGTGACAGACACACTTACACAAACACACACCTGAATCAGGGACAGAGTGACATTTCTGATGTCTTCCTTGCACTCTCCTTCGCCTCTGCTCTCTTTCCTATCATACAAATTCGTAATTTAAATGACTGACTTTGTTCTTTTTAAGGACACGAGAACTTTTGGAACTGGGCATTGATAATGAAGATTCAGAACATGAAAACGATGATGACACCAATCAAAGTTAGTGCACAGAAAGTCTCCTGGTGTGCTTTAAGAGATACCTGCCTCAGTGTTTCCCTCCAGGCTTTTCAACTGCATTATTTTCGGTCTGGGTGGGGATTTCTCTTTTCTTCTCTGTCACCTTTACCTTCTCTGTCGTTCTCCTTACACATCCTTGTATTACACATTTCATAATTCAGACTGAATTAATGGGGATTTTCCAGTAGTCCTTCCGTACTTTTCTTTTAGAATTTCCCTTTTTCATTTCTCTTAGTTTATATTTACTATTGCTTTAAGTCTTAGGAAATGTTAATTCCTTCTTTATTAATATTGAGGTAAAATAGATAGAGTTAGGAAAATGTAAATTAATCTTGAGAATAGAAACTAAGAGAAGTTTAATTTTTTTTGTTTTGTTTTGTTTTTGTTTTGTTTTGTTTTTTTTCGAGACAGGGTTTCTTTGTGTAGCTTTGCGCCTTTCCTGGAACTCACTTGGTAGACCAGGCTGGCCTCGAACTCACAGAGATCCGCCTGCCTCTGCCTCCCGAGTGCTGGGATTAAAGGCGTGCGCCACCACCGCCCGGCTCAAGAAGTTTAATTTTTAATGCCACAAAACTGGAGGATCTTGTAGGACAGTGGTTCTCAACCTGCCTGCAGGTCATGACCTCTTTGGGAATTGAATGATCTTTTCACAGGGCTTGCCCAAGACCATTGGAAAACCCAGATATTAACATTACGATTTATAACAGTAGCAAAATTACAGTTACAAAGTAGCAATGAAAATAATTTTATGATTGGGGCTCACCACAACACAAGGAACTATATTAAAGGATCGCACCATTAGGAAAGTTGAGAAACCACTGTTATAGAGTCAACTTGTAGTTTTCTATTATTTTAGTTGGGAGTTAAAGATTAAAAATGAATAGTCCAGTTTCCTGTTTTATTATTGCCAGCTAATACTTTTATTAGCTTAGGGAGAGACAGCTGGTCTGGGTTGGATTTTTGGCTTTTTTCTTTCTCCTTTTGAAAGTCCAGCCATAAACCACCATTTCCGCAGCCTTAGTAGGCACTGCCAGAGTTTGGTTCCATTCAGGAGAAGTGCTGCTAGCGGGCTGACTTACCCGGCACGCTTTCAGTGTGGTCAGCAAATAGTCCAAGTTCAGCCTCTCTTCGTCTCCATGGCTGTCACTAGGGTGCATCCTGAATATGCCAAGAAACTGGCTGTGGTTTGGCTTCCTTCTCTGGATCTAAAGAGAGAGGGTGTAAGAAGCCTGTTGAGTATAGATAGAGTGAGAGTTTTCGTTACGGCTTTTATTCTTGCATTTTTATTGTTGTGTGATGTTTAATGCATTCAGTTATTTTGGATTGTCACTTTAAAAAATTCAGCAGAAGCTAGGTATACCATAGGCATTTAATGTCAATACTGAGGTAAGTGGAGACAGATCAGCCTGGTCTACATAATGAGTTCTAGGACAGCCAAGGCTGCTACACAGTGAGACCCTGTTTCCAATCCAGTTCTTAACTTGCTTTCTTATATAACATTTTATAAGAGATACCAAGCATTTTGGATTGAACAAATTAATTTTCTGTTACCCTTTGTAATTACTAATTTTGTTATTATTTTTAATGTTTAGGTGCTACTTTGAATGATAAGGATGATGAATCTCTTCCTGCAGAAACTGGCCAAAACCACCCTTTTTTCCGACGCTCAGACTCGATGACGTTCCTTGGATGTATACCCCCAAATCCATTTGAAGTGCCTCTGGCTGAAGCCATACCCTTGGCTGATCAGCCACATCTGTTGCAGGTGAACTAACAGGTCTAATGTTCCTTTTTTAGCTGATTTTGAAGTGTTCAATCTAACTATAATATGTCTTGTTAAAATTCCAGCCAAATGCTAGAAAGGAAGATCTATTTGGCCGTCCAAGTCAGGGTCTTTATTCCTCATCTTCCAGTAGTGGGAAATGCTTAGTGGAAGTTACAATGGACAGAAATTGCCTTGAGGTAAGATAGTAAAAGTTTATAGTCTGTTTGTTAGTTAGCACTTGTCCTAGCATCCAGGTTTGAAGAGATGCATTAGTGGAGAAGATTTCTTTTCCCCAGTAGAAGTGCCGGAAGTTCCTCTTCTTACAGTATAATAGAACTGTTCCTTTCATTGACTTACAGTGTCAACTCATTTCAAACATCACATCGCCTTCTTTGTGTGCTTACTGTGTTCCTCCACAGCGTTGGTGATGTACACTGTTGAAAACTTGGGTTTCCAAAATACTTACTATATACGAGCATATGTAATTTTAGCTTCGAATTTCCCTTGATGTGCTGAGCTACTTGAATCAAGAATAAAGATTAATAAGGAAGCATTAGTAATGACACTCAGTAATTCTATCTTTTGGGTACTGTCTAAGGAAACATTTATGTAAGAAATAAGGCTTGAGATTATAAATGTCAAGGGTAAATGTCAGTTATCACACAACTACATGCCAGACGTAGCTTTCAGATATATATATGTCTGATTTGAGAGGTAAAATTATATCCCGCTGTTTTTCTAGGAAAAAAAAATGGTGTCATGTTTAAAGTCAGCATAAGAGAAATATAGCTGAATAAATTTTTATAATTAAGTGGTAAAGGGGAATGTGGTACTAAAATTATTGAAAATATGTAGGAGATTAAGTACCAGAGGGATTACAAAACATTGCTTTGAAGATTTTCTGCGGCTGCTCTGGTGAGTGCACTGGAATTTGTGGTCATCTGGAGGATGCAGGCTGACAAGAACAGACTGCATTTGGTGGTAGACCCTCTAGAAAGGGAACATGTTAACAAATATGTGATTTCTGTGGAGCTCTATTAAAGTTGAAAACATCTTCTTTTCTTCTTAATGTGTAACTTTTAAACCTAAAATTGCATAGGTTCTTCCAACTAAAATGTCTTATGCTGCCAATCTAAAAAATGTAATGAACATGCAAAACCGGCAAAAGAAAGAAGGGGAAGAACAGAGTGCGCTGGCTGAAGAAGCTGAGAGTTCAAAGCCAGGGCCGTCTGCTCATGATGTTGCCGCCCAGTTAAAAAGCAGTTTACTAGCAGAGATCGGACTCACTGAAAGTGAAGGGCCACCCCTTACATCATTCAGGTATGGCTAAATGAAGTAATGCACCTGTTATTGTTACACTTTTAATTTTTACTAGAGATTTCACATTTTGTAAATTTGTATATATAAGTATTATAATTTTTGTTACTCTTCTGTGATTTCCTAATTTACGATCAGATAGTTAAATATTGCTGAATTTTCTGGACTTTATGACTTCTTAAAAATTGATCTTCTTTTTCCTTTATTGAATTTTCAAGATGCTACTTTTCTTACGTTTAATACTGTCTTAAAACTTCTCAATTACAGACTTGTTATCAGCAGTTTAGATGAGGGAAATACTAGAAAGAATAGAATTTTCAGGATTTGTGACTCATGTTTAATTTGGGTTCACAAATAGTATCTTTGACAGAGGTATGTTTTTGTTTATTAATAAGTTACTAGCATATACTGTTGCTTAGTGTTGGTAATCACCAAGGGGTTTGCTGACTCTTGTTTATGCTTTAGTTTTTGGCTAGAAGTATGAGATAATATTTTTTGCTTACAAGTTAATGAGCTAGTTAATGAAATAAGGGTATGCTTAGGAGTTCTAGTGGATGAACAAGATACACTGTGTGGACACTGTCTCCCAACCATAAAGGCTCTGGGGTAATCTCTATACTGCAATAGCCTAGATTTAGATAATATGACAAGATGGTTAGAACATGTAGACCAGGTTGGAGAAAAGAATTAGAGGTCTGAAGACCAGTTAGTAGTGGTTCCAGCTGGTGAGGAAAGAGGGAGTTACGGTTAGCAAATTAACTTCATGGATGGAAAGAAAAGCACATCAGAGGAAGGTGGACTGTGTCACTTGGGAGGAACAGAAGTGGGAAAAATGTCCTTTACGTCTGTGCAGTGGGGAAATGGATGGTACTGGTGGATAGAAATTACTAGGAAATAGTGTTGTCATGAAGCCATGGTCAATTTTGTCTGTGTTGGGCTCTAATTAAGATCACTTACAAAGATAACAAATGAAAGTTCTAGAGGGTATTAAAGTGGAGATGGCCATTTGACTCTGAGGAGGGGAGGTAAATGAGATGGAAGTTGAGGATGGAAGATGCCTTGATGGTGTGACCTGGACACCTCAGGAGCATGCAGCCGTGGGAAGGCTCCTCATGAAAGAGCCTGTGAGAATGTTTAAAGACCGAGAAAGGCAGGCACTGCTGTTGACCAGCGTGGCATCTGGGGAGTTGACTGCTTTCTCCCCGTCTCCCTTCTCCAGGCCGCAGTGCAGTTTCATGGGGATGCTCATCTCTCATGACATGTTGCTGGGACGTTGGCGCCTGTCTTTAGAGCTGTTTGGCAGAGTGTTCATGGAAGATGTTGGAGCAGAGCCTGGATCAGTGTGTATTTTGTGTACTTGAATTCTATTCTGCGTGATAAGAACATGTTTCAGTGAATAATGTTTTGTTGTTTTTTTTTTTTCCTTATTTTACTTTAAGATCTTAACTGAACTGGGTGGTTTTGAGGTAAAAGAATCAAAGTTCCGTAGAGAAATGGAAAAACTGAGAAACCAGCAATCAAGAGATTTATCACTAGAGGTAAAGGTATTTAGATTGTCTCATATCTGTATCTCATATCTCACAACTTTTATTTTGTTGTTGTTTTGGTTTGGTTTGATTTGGTTAAATATTTCTTCTTTCAATTTAAAAAAAATTTTTTTTAATTCATTCTACATACCAACCACAGATCCCCCTCTTTTCCCTCCTCCAAAAGGGTAAGTCCTCCCCTAAGGGGACAGCAAAGCCTGGCACATTCAGTTGAGGCAGGACCCAGCCCCTCCTCTCTGCGTCAGGGCTGAGCAAGGCATCTGACCATAGGTAATGGATCTAGAAAGCCAGCTCATGTACCAGGGATCCTGATGCCACTGCCAGGGGCCCCTCAAACAGACCCAGCTACACAAGTGTCCCGTATGCAGAGGGCCTAGTCTGGTCCCATGCAGATACCATAGCATCAGTCTAAAGTTCGTGAGTTCCTGTGCGCTTCGTCCAGTACTTCACAACTTTTGAAACACATGGATAATAAATAAATATTGCTCAAGGTTATGTGCTTATAATTAAAATTTTAAAGAAATGATTACAAAATTTAGATCAGTAATTTTGGGGGGGGGGCACGGTCATTGGGAATTTGTTTCCTAGCATCTTTTGGTTTTTCGAGACAGGGTTTCTCTGTGTAGCTTTGCGCCTTTCCTGGGACTCACTTGGTAGTCCAGGCTGGCCTCGAACTCACAGAGATCCACCTGGCTCTGCCTCCCGAGTGCTGGGATTAAAGGCGTGCGCCACCACCGCCCGGCTCCTAGCATCTTTTATAGATGGAGGTTTTTTTTTTTTTTTTTTTTTTTTTTGTAAGAAAGTTTTGGACTGAAGAGATGGTTCAGTTGGTAAGGTGTTGGTCATATAGGTATGAGGACCTGGACCCACTTAGGAAGCCAAGTGTGGTAGCATGTACCATAACCTTGGACCCTAGCACTGGGGGTTAGAGTCAGAGTCCTTGGTCACCTAGTCTTGTTGACATCAGTGAGAGCCTCATCTCAAAAAAAATAAGGTAGAAAATTGTAGAAGAATAAACCCAATGTCAACCTCTGGCCTTCACGTTTGCATGGGCAAGCATACCTGTACACGCATATGCACGCACACACACATTTCATTACATAAACATAAGCTAAAAAATTCCTGGTATATTGAATCCCATATTGATGCTTACAATTTGTTTGTTCCCTCTATTTTTATGTCTTTTTAATATTATCTATAGTAGCCTTCCTCGTTACCTTCCAGTGTGTCTTAGGAATTTCCTGCCACAGCCTTACATTGGCCATTTCTTTAAGAAATTATATTGTAAGGTTAAAAATAGGCTCTGATCTGAGGTTACATATTCTAATGGGTTGGTTGTTATTTCTAGGCCTTTAAGAAATCACTGTGAAATTCATACTGAGACTTTGAATTCAGATTGGAGATATCCTTCCTTCCATACTGAATACACAGCTGCTCACCATTGGTGGGTTGTTTGTGTGTATCCCACAGTTAGTTTGCAGCAGTCTTGGAATTACAACCTCACTACTAACACCAGTAAAAGGTTTCTTTTTGTTGTTTTGTATCACCTAAGATCTAGGACTCCCTGTGTAGCCCAGGCTGGCTTTAACCTTCTGGCAATTCTCCTGCCTCTGGGATTATACAGGCATGATCCACCACACCTGGTTTAAAATGATTATTGATAGTAACTTAAGGTTAATTTGTAGCTTTATTGTCTGTAGATAATATCCAAGTGCAAATGCTTGATTCTTCGTCATTTTACTGTCAGAATTTTTATAAGAAATGATATCTACATGTAGTTTTAATTTGAATTTCTTATTTTAAGGAAAATTAAACCTTTCATGTATTTAGGATCTTGGTTTTCTTAGGATTTCTTTTTTATGAATTCTTGGTGAATTTTTGCCCATTTTTAGTATAAATTTACTTTTTTTTTTCAAATTAAAAAAATTTTTTTTCAGATGGGTATGGTGGCACATGCCTTTAATTTCAGCCCTGGAGAGGCAGAGGCAGGTGGATCTCTGTGAGTTCAAGGACAGTCTGGTCTACAGAGTCAGTTCCAGGCCAGCCAGGGCCACACAATGAAACCTTCCCTTTAAACAAACAAACAAGCAAGCAAACAAACCAGCAGTAGAGTAAAGCTCTTTTAAAGGTCCGTGCTTACACACGTATTTCTTGGTGTGTGGTACCGGCCAGAGCGGGTGCAGAGGTGTTGCCAGCTCCTCCTCCTCCTGTTGTGGCTCTTCAGGGACTGGACTTGGGTTGTTAGGGTGGTGGCCGGTGCCTGTAGCTCCTGAGCCACCCTGCCAGCCCCTCGAATTGTAGGAGCTGTTTATCAGTGCCTTTAGGTGATGTGTCCTCAGTGCACGAGTATGTCTGTGTGCTGGAGTCTGCAAGTATTGTTTTCTCCATCCAGCATGTCATTTTTCACACTTATATTTTCCGTCACTGAGGGAGTTATGTGTGTTGGGGCTTCAGTAGTGTAGGAAGTTCGTTATTCTGAGGCCCTCCTATAGAATAAATTCCAGGCTACCCTGGATTACATACCAAGGCATCTCAAAAGAGAAAAAGTTCACACCTCTGATCCATTTGGAATTTATTCTTGTGTAACAAATGAATAGGATTGACGTTCTCTGGTGGATCTTTGTTTTTTCATTTATTTATGTATTTGTTTGTTTAGTTTGTTTTTCTGAGGCAGTGTTTTTCTGTGTAACCCTGGAACTAGTTCTGTAGACCAGGCTGGCCTTGAACTCCCAGGGATCCGACTGCCTCTGCCTCCTGAGTACTGAGATTAAAGGCATGTACCACCATGCCCCCAGCTTCTGGTGGCTCTTTGAAAGAATGGCTTTATATTGAGTTAAATTCCATTAGCCTGATTTAATGCAGGACAGTCTTTGCTTTGGAAAGATGCATATGTAGAGTACAAAAGCTCCTGAGACCTCAGATTTCTTTGTAGTATTTAAACTAGCAAGGGAAAGTTGAGGTTGTAGTTAGAGGTAGAAAGCCCCGTGGTTGCAGCACCGATTGACTGACTATTTGGTGCACTTGAACAGGTTGACCGGGATCGGGATCTTCTCATTCAGCAGACCATGAGGCAGCTCAACAACCATTTCGGCCGAAGATGTGCCACCACACCGATGGCTGTCCACAGAGTCAAGGTCACCTTTAAGGATGAACCAGGAGAGGGCAGTGGCGTAGCACGGAGTTTCTACACAGCCATCGCACAAGCATTTTTATCAAATGAAAAATTGCCAAATCTAGACTGTATCCAGAATGCCAACAAAGGTACCCACACAAGTAAGTACTCTACAAATGTCAAGCATCATAATTATTACTCTTGTTTGTCATAACAGTGGTAATCATGGCCATGTATCTATACATTTTATAGAATTTTATTCGAGAGTATGATTTAGTGTTGACAAAACTGCTTGAATTGACAGTTTGCTTCTTACTGCAACATGCTCTTCAGTGTTTGTGATCACTAGCTTCTCACCTCAGTTGTTACCTGTTTGGAGGTGACAGGCTGTGAGCATGATACAAATCCAGGAAGAGAGTGGGAGTCCTTCCTTCCTTCCTTCCTTCCTTCCTTCCTTCCTTCCTTCCTTCCTTCCTTCCTTCCTTCCTTCCTTCCTTCCTTCCTTCCTTCCCTCCCTCCCTCCCCCCCCCTCTCTCTCTTTCGAGACAGAGTTTCTCTGTGCAACAGGCCAGCCTGTCCTGGAACTCACTCTGTAGACCAGGCTGTCCTCGAACTCACAGAGATCCGCCTGCCTCTGCCTCCCGAGTGCTGGGATTAAAGGCGTGCGATACCACCGCCAGGCAGTGGGAATATTTCTTTCACCCTTGTATTGACAGCTACTTGAAGAGAAAACACAGTTCTCTAGGTAGGCTATTCTGAGTTTGAGTCACAAGTATGCTCTGATGCCATGAGGTAAAGAGCATGAGACCACGTGGTCAGGACTGAGCATTGGAATTTCATAATAGCTAATGTTCTGGCAGTCTATAATGTTCAGAGCCCAAAGCGGAGACTACAACCGGTGTTCACTCAGCAGCTCTGACTGTGTGAGACACCTCAGCACTGTTATGATTAAGTCAGTCCAGCAGTAGTTGTTGCATATTATTTCATAGTTTGACATGACAAGGGGAGAATAGTTCACCAATGTTAAAGTGAACTTGTATGATGAGCCGTGTACATTCTATACAACTATCAGGAACCTTCAAAAACCAAGGAGCTGTGAGAGAGGAGAATCTGAGTTCAAATCCCCAGCACATTAAAAACTGGGCGTAGTTGTGGGATGGCAAGTTTCAGTGAGAGAGCCTGCGTCAAAAACGTCAGCAGGACACATCTGATGTAGTGCATGCGCACACAGCACACACCCCAGAGAAGAGGTACTGGCAAGGAAATGATCTCCAGCAGCCTCCTGTTTGTGGTCTCATTTCAGCGCTGACTGAATGGAAAAACTTGTTGTCTTTTGTCTTTATTGTAATGTCCTGCCTTTCATCTTGTAGGTTTAATGCAAAGATTGAGGAACCGAGGAGAGAGAGACCGGGAAAGAGAGAGAGAGAGAGAAATGAGGAGGAGTAGTGGCTTGCGAGCAGGATCTCGGAGAGACCGGGATAGGTACAGTGGATTTCAGTATTTACTCAATACGGGCATTTTAGATAAGTGGGATAGGTAAAGGCTTGCAGATCAGTGTAAGATTTGGTGGTGGATGGAAAATGAAAGGGTCTGCTTTAGCAACCCTGGGACATTTGAAAATAGACTGCCTTTTTATTTAGTCACTAAAGTTTGACATTTCAGTACAATTACTACTTTCCTAGTTTAGTTAGTTGTGACAAACTGTATTTTAATTTTCTCTTGTTGAAATGGGCTACATTTACTTTTGTTTAAAATTTCCAGGAATTATGGGTAGTCTCTTAGAGTCTGGTCCTGCTCCATTAAAATCAAATTATATGTGACATGTAGATTTTTAGTGACAAACCTAGGTAATCTTTATTGCTCAAACATGTTGTATTTAATGTTGTACCATCCTGCTGTCGTGGTTGGCACTGTCGATGTGTTCTCTGGTTTTCTGTTGACCGAGATGTGCTGACATTTTGATTTGGTCAGAGGCAGTGGGGTCAGAAGCCTTCTTCTTTCGCAGAGACTTCAGGAGACAGCTTTCCATCGATACCAGGCCGTTCAGACCCGCTTCTGAGGGGAACCCTAGCGATGACCCCGACCCTCTGCCAGCTCATCGGCAGGCCCTTGGAGAGAGGCTTTACCCCCGGGTCCAAGCAATGCAGCCTGTGAGTCCTGGGCACTGTCCTCCCGCTAACTAGATGTGGGCTCTTTTCCTGTCACATTGTCACTATGAAGCCAGGACACTGTTGAGGACTGTGCTTGCCTGGACAGTGATAGGAATTTTAAAAGAAAGCGTTGCTTGGAAGTAACTCTACTTGAATCTTTTCCCCCACAAAACTTAAGTTTGAGGCAATTCAGTTCTGCCCAATTTGAGTTCCTTTTGTGTTAAAGAATTAGCTGTGATTTATACTCATTTACATATATTTTATAGTTTTACTTAAATAAACCATTGTTCCTTTTTGAAGTAGATACAATCTGTTAGCAAGCTGTAGCTAAAACATGGCAGTCCTTTACTGCTGATAAAGATAGCTCAAGATTTCAATTGAATGTTTTATTAAATTTCTCTCAAAATGTGGAACCTGTAAACTAGTCATGTTTTTTTTTTCCTTTTTAGTCTTTATGTATTATGTTCATACATGCAACCAAAAGACTAATAAAACAGAAAATCAGTTGTATTTCTTGCAGTAAGTCAGTCAGCCTTAAGTAATAGGCGCCTTTCTCCTCACCTCCCTTCTTTTTTCTGTATTCATTGAAAGTGGTTTTGGCTCTCTGAGGAAGACAAAAATTATAGAAATTACATGTATGTTTACTTGGAATTTAAATACATTAAAAAATACAGAGAGACTATCATATAAATATTCCAGGCCCAACAAAACTGCTAGTTTGTGGACTGTGTGTTCCTTGTCTAAGTTGTCTGATTAACCTTGAAGTTTCATAAAAAGCCTTGCTAGTTCACAAGAAAATTTTTTAATTTGATTTCCTTCTCTTGATTGTAGCTTTTCACAAGCAGAGTTGATGACGTAACATTTATTCATCTTTTATAGGCATTTGCAAGTAAAATCACCGGCATGCTGTTGGAATTATCCCCAGCGCAGCTGCTTCTCCTGCTAGCAAGTGAAGATTCTCTGAGGGCAAGAGTCGATGAGGCCATGGAGCTCATTATTGCCCACGGACGGTAATGTGTGCAATTGGAGCAGCATTTCAGTTTAAACATTAGCTGTGTTATTTCCAGAGAGTGTGTTTTTCATCATATCCTAAAACTTACAAAGGTCTGGAGAGATACGCTAAAGTTTTAGCATTCCAATAAAGACTGTGTGTGTTGTCTTATATCAGGGATCGCAGCCATGTCTTGAATTGTATGTAGCAGCTAGTGGAATTGGGGGTTTGTTTGGGGGTTTTGTTTTTGAAACATGTCTTGGCATTATAGCCTAAGCGCTGGCCTCGGGCTTGCTCTGTAGTGCAACTCTATAAGCACTAGGATTATCAGCATCTCCCATGGTTTGGGTTAAATTGATTTTTAAAATGTGTAATAAATATGAGCAGATACTTTGATACTAAATTTCCGACATTTCACCTCCATGGAATGTAAAAGGGTTTCATTTATTTTTAGGGAAAATGGAGCTGATAGTATCTTGGACCTTGGATTATTAGACTCCTCGGAAAAGGTACAGGTAAGAGATTTTTTTTTTTTAGTATGTGTTAATGAGCAGTTAGAACAATAAAAGAGGAAGAAAACAGGATTTAGGAGATGTCTTTGTAAATAAAATAAATGATTTACAGTACAGAAAGAGCAAGATATGTGGTTGAAATATTTAGAATCAAATTATAAAATTGAGTTAGATATTAACATAGTACCAGTCACTTGGCTGTTTATGGTTGAACACAGACTGACTTAAGGTTTAGTTTGGAGACTGAATAGCAGAGGAAAGAGGCAGTATAGAATCTTAGGATCCACTCTTCGAGGAAGTTGTTGGTGCTAAAGATGCATAGAAAACAGCCTATCACTCTGTGGGTATGGTGTGGTTTGTTTCTTGTATTTCATAATTAATCTTCTAGCGCTAGCTAAAAGGAGCAAACTTACTATAATTTCTATCATTGGTCACAAAAGAAATCAGTACAAAATGCAAAAAAGAGCTACCTGTGAATTCTGAACAAATAAATAGTAGCACGCAGATCGGAAAGAGAAGCCACAGCTTGACAAATGGCCATTACACTGTCTTTTCAGCAGGAGGGCAAAGCTGAACCTTGTTCTGTCTTACCTGAAAGATAACAAAGGCTTTTGAGAATTACCCTGCATAGGAAGCGCTGCCCAGGTATCACAGGTTGTACACATGCAGGATACACTGAATAGCATAATGAACAGTTTTGAAATAGAATTGGCATCATAACTCCTGTTGTGTTGAAAACTCTTCTCCCTCTAATGCAATTTTTAATACAACTTAGAGTCACAACCTAATACTCAAAATGTACCAGCTACAAATCTTCCTAAGCCCAGAAACTACTCAGTCAACAGAGAACCAGACAGGACCAACCAGTTCTCCTCAGAAAGGAGCCTGTAGATGGTGATAGAGTTCTAGTAGGGAAAACAGGGTTTAAGAAAGAGATCCAAACAAGACTTTGGAGTAGAAGTACAATCTCTCAAAGGAAAAAAAGTCACTGGATTAGTCCAATAACAAGATGAGAATGGCAGGTAGAAAACAGAGTTCAGGTATTGTCTCGGGGCTGTGGCAGTACTAAAGATCTAGTGACATGATGCCTTTGGAAAGCAGTAGGAGGGAGGGTGGTATAGAAAACTACTCGAAGCAATGCTGGAAAAGCAACTTTTCTAAGATTGTAGATGTACAAATTCAAGGTCAGTAGACTTGAAGCAGACTGTACTAACACTGTCCGGACGCAGTTAAATACTTAAGAGGACAGTGATAGTAGCATCTCGTCATTCACATGCTGAGAGAACTGGCAATCCAGAACTCTGTAGCTAGCAAAAATACCTTCTCAGCATTAAGGGGAAAGAGTGGGGTTGTTGGTTTTGAACGGAGGGTCTCACTCTAGCCCAGAGTGGCCTGGGACTTACTCAGGAGATCCTCCTGTCTCAGCCTTCCAGTGCTGGGATTACAGGCCTGTGCTCTCATGCCTGGTTATGCAGTAGAAGATGAACCCAGGGCTTAGTGCTTGCCAGGCATGCACTCTCCAGTCGGTCTGAGGCCCAGTCCCAACTGGTTGTTTGGAATAGCAGACATGAGGATTTAGTATACATAAGGTTTGTCTATTACAGCTCAGAGTCTACCTTTACTATTGTTATACACTGTATTTAAATATGAATTCTGCTTTTCTTTTGCTTTGAATGATTTCAGAGAAGCATTCCATATATTTCTTTTCTCAAATGAGCTCCGCAGCCTCATCTCTCCTAACTAACTCTGTTCGTAGGAAAACCGAAAGCGTCACGGCTCTAGTCGGAGTGTAGTAGATATGGATTTAGATGATACAGATGATGGGGACGACAATGCTCCTTTGTTCTACCAACCTGGAAAGAGAGGCTTTTATACTCCGAGACCTGGCAAAAACACAGAAGCACGGTTGAATTGTTTCAGAAACATTGGCAGGTAAAGGAGCTGCCCTCAGTCTTTAACCCGGGGAGTCGGACCCAGGGCTTTGTCCCATGCTAAGCATGTTCTCCACCACTGAGCTACTCCTCCAGCCCCAAGCTTGCTGTGCAGCCCGGGCTGGCTCAAATGCCTGATCTTCCACTACCTCCAGGGCTGTGGGTTAGGTAGGGCACCACACACCCTGGCTAAAAAGACATTCGCTTTAAAATTGGATATATACTCTACTTTATACTAGGTAGAAATGAGGATTTCTCAAAATATTATATATATAAATTTTTTTATGTATGTGTGGGACTAATTCTATGATTGGTTTTGAATTTAAATTATATTTCTGTTCTTATTTTTAGGATTCTTGGACTATGTCTGTTGCAAAATGAACTATGTCCTATCACATTGAATAGGCATGTAATTAAAGTGTTGCTTGGTAGAAAAGTAAGTTTGATGCATATAACTGATTTTACAATTGTAAACATTTCTTTTGCAAAATAAAAGATGGTACACTGTATAGTATTCAGTTTGTGGTAAAGCATTATAATTGTCAAAGATTTAATGATATAGCTAGTCTTTGTATATGGGGAGATGGCACAGTAGAGTTGCTAACAGTTTTGGTTGGTTCCTGACAAACCTGAATCCTACTGAAGAGAAATCCTCTGACAACTTTATAAAAATACAAGCACTATGCTTGGCACACATTGTTAAGGAAGCCAAAGCCACTATAATTGGTCACAAGTGGGTGGTAGTAGAGTCTAGAAATAGTCTTAAACAACATTCTAACTTGAAAAATACATGTGCCACAGAGGGGCCAAAGAGCCAACATACATGATATTCATATGGCTTATAGAATTAGATTATTTTCTTTATGTGTTGATATCTGATTGCCTGGCAAGATTAACATGTACTGCTAATTACTCAGCTGTATCACAACAATTCCTAAAGCTATTACAAAGAAATCAGACTCTTTTTCAGAGATGGCTGTACCATACATCTACCGTAAACTGAATTGCTAAAGCTGTAGTCTACTAATACCCCGCTAGTGGTTTTTATTAGCACATAGTAGTTATGCACAATGATGAGTTTATTGTGACATTTTCACCTGTGTACACAATTGATTTTGGTCATAGTCTCATTCTCCTCGCTTTGTTTTGTCTCTTCCTGCTCCCTTTAGTCCCTTCTTCTGCTTTCATGTCTGTCTGTGACCACGTGGTTTATGTTTGTGATTTAGTGGGTGTCATTAAGGTTGTTTATAGGAGCATGGACACTTGACCAGTTAAGTCAAATCACTGAAGAAAATGGTCTGTGTTGTTCCCCCACCCCATCAACCATTAATTGTATAAATTGCTAGAGAGATGTGGGCACTGTGAGGTCTCATGAGCTTGTTCTGATTTTGATAGTTCAAGAGCCTTGATGAGCTCCACAGTCACTTTCTGCACAGCTGCTTTCTCTGGCTTACACACACACACACACACACACACACACACACACACACACACACACACACACACCCCTCCCAACCTGCTTCTTACACAGTAAACTCTGAGCCTTGGGCAGGGTGACACCGATCTCCCGCTTATGGCTGGACAGTCAACACGCATTCTTGGTACTTTGACCAATTGAGTCTGCAGTCAACAGACTGACAGCAGCACTAAATGTATGGCCTAGACAGTTCAGAAGACATTTTATAAGTGTGCCCTTCCATTCAACAGAACAGTTACAGAAACCTTTCCACCAGGGCCTAGGACCTGACCTCCTCATCATGGGTGTTTGGTCACATTTTAGTACTAAATTAATTGACTTTAACAAATCACTGACTATTGTTTGCTGTTTAAATGAGTCTATTATAATGAGAAGTGTATGTTTTCTTTACTAGCTGGGACCACAATTTAACTCTTGACAAATCCAGCTAAAATGCTTTTGTGCATAGACCTTGAGTGAAAACCGAAGCTATTAACAATAAAAATGTTAGTATGTTAACTCTTCAGTTCATGAGACCTGGTAGACTTTAGTTTGACTCAGTGATGTGACCTTTGTAAGTCACCAAACTTCTTAGAGCAGTTAGATGGGATTTACTAACCTGTGTTGTGTGGAGACCATCACGAGCACATGACATAGTCAAGAGCCGCCTTAGTCACACGTTGGCCACTGTTCCATAAAGAAAGCTGGCTTTCCAAATGATTCTTAAAGCATGCTCTTGGCTCCACCTCATAGCAGTTAACTTATTATTTCTGTTACAAAAAAAAAATAAAATGAATTGTCAAAGCTAGAGGTTTATTAATTTTTTCTCTCTTTAAAGCAGTTTTATGTATTTTGTGAAAAATTATTTATCACTGTGCTTTTAAGTTAAATAAAATTAGGGCTAGGATATAGCTTAGTGGTAGAGCATTTACTTAGCATGCACACAGTTCTGGGTTCAGTCCCTGTCATTTCCCCTCCCCTCAAAGATAAAGCCATCAGAGATTGTCATTGACTATCGGGTCAAGAAGAGAGGCTTCTGTTGAGACTGTCCTGTGTGACTATTCCCTTAGGTCAACTGGCATGACTTTGCTTTTTTTGACCCTGTAATGTATGAGAGTCTGCGACAACTGATCCTGGCGTCTCAGAGTTCCGATGCTGATGCTGTTTTCTCAGCCATGGATTTGGCATTTGCCATCGACCTGTGTAAAGAAGAGGGTGGAGGACAGGTAAAGCAAATCACAGTTTCCTGATGCTTGGCTTGTTTTATAAAGAACGATTGGCTCGGACCAAGAGAAAACCACTGAGGCAGGGTACATGCATACATACAAGAATGAGCACTGTAAGAGGTGAGAGAGAGGAGTCAGGGATTAGTGAGACAGAGACTTGTGCTCAGTTAGGCCGACAAGGTTTGCACCTCTTAGATAGGTATTTGTCAGAGGAAGATTCATCCTTTAATCCTAAAATTAAAAAAAAAAAAAGTTCTCATGAGCTGTTATTATTGTCAGAATTGTTTTTAAATGTCACTGCTGAATCGTTCACAGGTTGAACTCATTGCAAATGGTGTGAATATACCAGTCACTCCTCAGAATGTCTATGAGTATGTGAGGAAGTACGCAGAGCACAGGATGTTGGTAGTTGCAGAACAGCCATTACATGTGAGTATTTTCTAGAAAAGTATTATGTCATGTGATGAAGCTGTTTTTATTTTCTTGGATTGTGGTGAATTAGCCCAGTAATCTGTCTACAAAAGGCCCAAATTTTCAAATGTAAAATCGTTTAAAGTTGAGAGTTCAGACTAAGTACTCGTGTTCTTTTGGATAACTATGTAATGATCAGAAAATAGCTGTGGTGAGCAAACGTTGACTGGGGGGGGGGGGGTCTCGTGAGTGGATCCTGTCACCACCGTATTTACTACCCTAACTGAGAAGGCATCATTAGACTCGGTCAGTCATATTTACTAAATGCAAAGACACGCTAGCAACATACGCAGAGGAGGCTGTATCAAGCAGAGCCTGAAGGGTTCCAAGTCCAAGCTTCGCCAGCATTTGATTGGGGAAGCCTGAGATCTTGGCACAACCCAGGGTTCTTATTGGTGGCTAGTCCTGCAGGTATTTCTTGGCTGCACACCCAGCCATGACCACTGAAGTTTTAGAGGAAAGCATGTTTCTACTATCATATTGTTAACACAAATAGTTTAGAGTGCTTAACAGAAGGTACATTGCCCTAAGCACAGTAATGGAGGGGGCATCCCCAAAGTGAAGTTCTCAAGACAACAAGCAGCTCTGCGTTCAGGCCCTTCAGAAAGCAGCACAGCAGACCTGTGCTATTAATGCTTTCCCTTTCCAGGATAAGGCTTGTATAATCAAGAGTGGTGGGGGTTCTTGTGCTGGGAATTACACCAAGTTAGTACTTCCCTCGCTACCTTCCAGCTGCACACTGGCAGGTCACTAGTACTTTATTTAGTGCACTGGTTTCTCTCTCTGCAAAATGAGGGCAAGATTTAACAATTGATGCATGGGAGGTACTTGGAACAACACGCTCGCTCGCGCACACACACACACACACACACACACACACACACACACACACACAGGTACATTTTCAGTAAGTGTCTAGACTTTGGGTTTGAGTCTGGGAGGCTTGTTGTGAATTGTGCTTTTTTTAGGGTACACTTTTGCCAAATTGAAGCAAGGCAGTGATGCTTATCTACTGTGCCACCTGTACATTATTATATAATTTAAAAAGTAATTTCAATTACATCCTGGGATGTAAAAATACTAGGTGACTTCTGAACTGTAGCCTGTTTGCTGTGCTCAGCTCTTCCCCTGGTGTCTTGAATCTGTAAAGAGGAAAGTCAAAATACAGCTCTGCTTTTTTTCTCTCTTTGCTTAGGGAACTAGCATTTTTTAGAGGATGTAGCTAAAATTTGATGTTGAGCTTTAATAATATGAACAGATGCCATGGAAAGTAAAGTACTGATTATAATAAAAGAAAAAAATGTCAAATTCTCTAGGCAATGAGGAAGGGTCTACTAGATGTGCTTCCAAAAAACTCCTTAGAAGACTTAACAGCAGAAGACTTTCGGCTTTTGGTGAACGGCTGTGGGGAAGTCAATGTGCAGATGCTGATCAGTTTCACCTCTTTCAATGATGAGTCAGGTAGGAAACGGCATGTCTTCCTGAAGAGAGGAAGCTGGAGCATGCTTAGTGTGTCCTCAGAGGTTTGGGATCTGAGAGTCTTTCCCAAGCCCTGTAGATAGACAAGTTGGTTTTTAGTATTACCTGTAAGGGTATGATTAAATGAAGTTTAATATTTTGATAGCTTAGAATTAGGTTATTCTTTTGTTTTTTTATGGGAGGCCTAGGCAGGAGAATATGAAGTTTGAAGCCAGCCTCAGATACATAGTGAGAACCTGCCTAAAAAACAAAATACGTGCATGCTTGCACACATGCACGCACACACAACCCAAACAAAAAGATGGCTATAATTTAGAGCACAGTAAAATTGTTTGTAGTGAGAAAACGACTTTTGTATACTAAAGTGACAAAAATAATAAATGTTTTCTGTGCCTCAGACAGTGAAAGAATTTGATTCCATAATGTTTGCTGTGTACAGTTGTAAGTGGGTCACTTTATTGTAAGGACACAAAGTCACAGGATGAATCTAGAAGGAAAAAACAGTGGTGATAAGCTTGATCTCAGGGTTTGGTTTGCCCTGAAGTTTTTTTTTTTTTTCAAACATTCAGGGTAAGTGTAGACTTTTGAGCTTTTAGAAGTTGATTAGAAAGTTGATTGGGAAGATTGTAGTTATACTACAATTACTACATACATAATTTAGATTTTTTTTTCCTATATTGTTAAGTGGCTTCCACCAAATTATAAATTTTGTTTTTATTATTTTTGGTGTTTTTGAAACAAGGTCTATGCAGCACTCTTGCAGCTCATTGCGTAGACCAGGCTGGTCTTGAACTCACAGAGATCGTACTTGCCTCTGCCTCTGAGTGCTGGGATTAAAGGTGTACACCAGCTCAGATTACAGAAAAATTGAAATTTTTTTTCTCTTTTATTACTTTCATGCTCAGCGGTTTTTAGTTTTGTTATATAGTGGGTTTTGTGACACAGTTTAATGTCAGCACGTAGAAGGACTTGGTTCATTTAAAAAGCACAGCTAGAGCTGGGAAAAGAAGCAGCGTATGTCCGGAGGTCAGAGGAGCAGCACTCGGTGTCCGTCTCTCCTGTCATCTGGGAGTGAATGGGAGTCTGCCTCTTACAGAGATCCATGGCACGGTGGTGGCTTATGAACGCAGGAGTTTAGAAGCACTGGCTTAGGGTCACATGAGAAGACTCGAGTTTACAGATGAGCTTTATGTCATGGACTGTTGATTGGGTGATGACAGTTCACTTTTCTTTTACTCGTTTCAAGTCAGGATTCCCTGATTAATTTCAAAGGTTTTAAAAATACAGATAGTTTCCTCTTAGGAATTAGATGCCTTAAATTGTAAAGTTTGTCTCTTTGTTTATATAAGAAGTTTACCAGTGTTCAGAAGAAACACCATCTAATACAACACACTGACTTTATATTCTTAGGAGAGAATGCTGACAAGCTTCTCCAGTTCAAGCGTTGGTTCTGGTCAATAGTAGAGAAAATGAGCATGACAGAACGGCAGGACCTTGTAAGTTAAAGGACGGAAGAAGCACAAGGGGGTTGTTGTGTTTGGCTTGGGTGTTTTAGGAGGTGGGTCGGTGGGTTTCCCTCGTGAAGAATATAGTTTACCAATAAAAGTCATGTGAAACTGTCAGTATTTCTCTTAACTATCGATTTTGATTGATCATGTTTTTTAATTTCTCCTTTATATATGTGGGTATTTTACCTGCATGCATGTCTGTGCACCATGTGTATGTTGTGCCTTCTGAGGCCAGAAGAGAGCATCAGATCCCCCTGAGACTAGAGTTATAGATCATTTTGAGTCATCTTTTGGGTGCTGGAGATCAAATCCAGGTCTTCTGGGAGAGCATCCAGTCAGTGTTCTTTGCTGCTGAGCCACCTCTCTAGCCCCAACTCATTCATTCTTGAAGAAACTTTTTACGTGAAGCTTTTTCTTACCTGTTAAATGAGTGGATGGGACCAGCTTTGCTTTGGTACTTCTAAGATGAAGTTCCTTACACAGTTATATTTTAGGAAATATCGACAATTACTGAAGTTTCTGAGCTACTCTGGAAAGTTAGATTGACTTTAGTGCTTAGTTGTAAAAAGTAAATGCCATAGAAATACCATACATGGTTTCTACACTCCCCCCCCAGAGTGTGTGTGTGTGTGTGTGTGTGTGTGTGTGTGTGTGTGTGTGTGTGTGCGCGCGCGCGCATACATGTTCCTAAATACATAAGTAAAACCTGCTCGGGCTGTATAATGTTATGTAGATGTATGTTTTCAGGGTAGACATTCTATTCTGTTTTGGATCACCAAGTAGTGTGCTCTCTCTAGGAAAGACTGTTTATTCTGCTCTCAGCATTTCTTGGTTGTCTGTAGTCATTTGTTTATGGTTGACGCTTCCTGGACTTCTCCCCCTCCCCACCCCGTCCATTTTAGCATATCTGTTGTGGTCAGCTCATAGTTGGGCAGTTATGTTTGTGAGACTTTGGTTTTAAACATCAGAGTTGTGGTTGTTTATGCTGCCAGAATTAAGGTTGACTATAACCTCTAAAAGCCACGATTGTAACTCTGTGTTCTTATTTAGGTTTACTTTTGGACATCAAGCCCATCGTTGCCAGCCAGTGAAGAAGGTTTCCAGCCTATGCCTTCAATCACAATAAGACCACCAGATGACCAACATCTTCCTACTGCAAATACTTGTATTTCTCGACTTTATGTCCCACTCTATTCCTCTAAACAGATTCTCAAACAAAAATTACTACTCGCCATTAAGACCAAGAATTTTGGTTTTGTGTAGAGTATAAAAAGTGTGTATTGCCGTGTAATATTACTAGCTAATTTTGTAGATTTTTTTTTTCCCATTTGTCTATAAAAGTTTATGGAAGTTAATGCTGTCATACCCCCCTGGTGGTACCTTAAAGAGATTAAATGCAGACATTCCTTGCTGAGTTTGTAGCTTAAAGGCCTGAGAAGCACTGGCACCTTTTGTCTATGATGGTTTGCTAGTCGCCATCTTCTAGGTCTAACCCCAGCCAAAGATGACAGCAGAACAACATAATTTACACTGTGATTTATCTTTTTTGCTGAGGGGGAAAAATGTAAAATGTTCTGAAAATTCACTGCTGCCTTTGTGGAAAGTGTTTCGGCAAAGGTTCTTGTATAGAGGGAATAGGGAATTTCAAAATAAAAAATTAAGTATGTTCTGTGTTTTCATTTTAACTTTTTTATGGTGTTTAATTTGTGGTTGGCTGCAATTCTGTATCATGTGTATGGAACTTGTAAAAAGTTCTTGACATTCAGATTTTAGAGAGGAAATCACTTTTACCTATAAAAACCACTTCTATTGCGAGTTATTTTAGCCGCATTGAGCTCTAGGATATTAAATGATACTACTACTATTTTGCATGTAATTTGTTCAGTTGAGAGAGGGTACTTTTTCTGTACATAGGACGGGGCCAATGCACAAGACTTTCTCACAGTTACCTTCCTTTCTTTGTATCCCTGTTTCAATGCAGTCAGACAGGCTATTGCCCTTCATCCTAACCAGACATTTGTGCTAAGGTAATTCAGTTATGTGTGCTCAGCTGGGCACTTTCTGATAACTGTAAAATGTTTTATAAGATCATGATTACTGAAAATACATTTTGGAAAATTTTAAATGTTCGTGAGCAGCTTAACTACTTTTGTATCTAGCCTTTTTTTAAGTATCTTGTTACATTTTACTTTTTTAAATAAATTACAGAAGAAATGTCAAGTAATATTGAAGAAACAGTTTTTATTTATATAGTTGTACATTTTTTAAGCTAGGGGCAATGCACTGACATGGTTATATTCATACATTTTTTTAAAGTTTATATACATATGGACTATAAGAACGTTAAGAAAACCAGTCCACATTTTACAGTTAGCAGAGAATCCTGAATGGCACCCAGCCAGGCCCTTTCTTTTTACAAGTAGTAGTGAAGTGTGACCATTAATTGGCACAGAAAGTTTGAGTTAACTAACTGAAAACTAAATGACAGTTTTGTTTTGTTTTGTTTTGTTTTGTTTTGTTTTGTTTTGTTTTGTTTTGTTTTTAATGACTATGTGGTCTATGACCAATGCCCCTTATATTTTGTGGACTTAGCAGTTTTATTCAGTGGGATAACAAGGAACAAAAAGTCCCTCTAGGATTTCAAGTAGTCACTTTAAATGTAAAAAATGATGGAAGTTCTCCTGTCCTCACCTATGGTTTAAATTCCTATTTAGGACCTCTGGCCTTGGATAGTTGTCATGTTTAAAGGGACTGTAGTTTTATTATATAACTTCCTTCAAAAGACTGAACCACATGGCATTCTCAACCTGTTAACTAAAATATATTAAACTGAATCATAGTGAAGGTCACTATATTACTTAAAACTTATATAACAACATGCTGTATTAGATGTGTGTAAGTTAGCCAAAGTGAGACATTGGTTTTTATGTCTAAATATTATTCTGAATTAAGAGCTAACAAGCATCAGTATGTTTTGAAAGATACAGAACATCAACATAAGTCACACAACAGGCTTGATCAGTCGTAAATGAACAAATTAGACTAGGACACCGAAGCCCTCGTTGTAAATTTATTCTTAATAGTTACTGAAAGAATGAAAATATTTAAGATAATGCGACATGTCTGAGGTCTTCCAAAATCAAGATTTTGGTTAAAATGCTTTTAGTAATAGTAAAAGCAAAGTGAGGTTTGTTATTTTGGTTTTGTTTTGTTTCTTTAGTAAAGCATAAAATGATTCTAAATGTAAAATAAAGTCATACAAAATAAGGTTCTCTTTTGGTCTTGTTTAGCGATTGAGACAGAACTGGAGGCAATTCAGGAAGACCAAGAATGAACTTGACTGGTGGGGAAGCTTTGCTTCTTCTCGCCTTCCCCACAGGGTGACCATCAGGATGGCTCTGTAATGGCTTACTGGGGTGGGCTTCAGAGGGTTTTCAAAAGAAATGATTTTACTACATTAACAACATAAAGATCGGGTTATTTTGACGAATGTAATGACAGCTGCAAGGCTCAAGCTAAAATTGAAATCATCTTTGAGGAAATAATTCACACACTTTTATGGCAAAGATTTACTTGTGGTTTGTTAATGCAGACACCTGGGCACAGTCCCCTGTCACTTCTCTGATATACTAAATGGTGGAAGCTAGCAGTCTTCATCCGTAATAGAACAGCATCCAGGTGAATTCTAACACTAAAAGAAGAGCATTCCATTTCACTCGTGGATATAAATACACTAAAGTCAAGCCTTTCCTACTTGAAATCTATGAAAAAAAGTACAACTGTTGATCAGTCCTGGCTCCCACTTGATCATGGTTGGATGGATGTACCTTTAATGGACTGCCTGGGTAGTGGTTGAAAGTACTTTACAATGTATGTTTACATCAACTGAAATGGGTATGAACATGCAGATAAAACTTAAAATAACCATTCCCTTACCTCACATGTGACCTAGTCTCATGTTACCTTGCTTACAATTCAAACACACTAGATTGCTGATTACATTAACTTCCTCTTCGTTATTTTTAATAAGTACTTGCTATGTGCTAAGCACTTTTCCCCATTGTCCCGTTACTGTCCTCAGAGATTGATTTGATGAAGGTTGTCCACTTATGAAGTATTAGACTGTTAAATTCTACCCAGGCACAGAGTTTGCAGTCTTAACATTGGACTGCGGTAGTAATTTGTGGAAGGTATAATAATGCAACTGAGTTACCAATAATGAAGTGTGTCACTAGGCTCTAGCTGCACTTGACTCAGTTTGGAGCCTTAGATCCTGGGGCCATTCTGATGTTCTGACTGTGCTATCTTGAAAAAGCTGTGATTCATAAACTTGCTAAAGATTTAGAAACAAATAGACTTATCCTTCAGTTACTTTCCCCAATGGTATCTGGAACTTTAAAGATGTGGGGATGCTCTAAAGTTAACGATGTTATATATCTTTTAAATCCAAATGTCTTAAAATGAAAAGCGTATAATGAAAAACTGATTTTATTGTCCTAAGTTCTTTAAAGAATTGGGCTGCAAACCCAGAAAGATGGCTCAGTGGGTAGAGGCACTTGCTGCCTAGCCTGATGACCTGAATTTGATCTCCAGAACAGGGTAGAAGGAGAGAGCCAACTGCAAGTTGTCCTGTGTACCTTGGCATGCATGGTCACACACACATACAAATAAAAAAGTACATATCATGGATAACGACTTCATGAACCTTTTCACATGTGTCTGAATGCTTTTAGTTGTAACATCAAATCAATAGGTAAGTCACATTTTGATGCAAATAGGATTTCTCCAGGAAAAAAACAACAGTGTTACTTGTATTTGAAGTGTTTGGTATAAAAAATGAAACTTGACTATTAAAGTTAAACTCTGGCAAGCTTGTGGCATGGTAATGATTAGGTAAACTTTATGTATCACACAGTGAGTAACCTGTAGAATCTTTTTAAACAAAGTGCCTCATGCTCCTAAGTAGTCAGCAGCATGCTTAAAAGTTTTTCATTTGTCTCATGGATTCAGCTTATAACCTACAGAAATGAAAGGCTTATGCGGTTGTTGCCACTTCCGTATTCATTTAGGGGACAAGCACAATTGTGTTATAGTTTATTAGAAAAAATATGCCTACAGAAAAACAATAATTCTTACTACCAAGATAGGGATTGGGGTAACAAATGAGGCACTGTATTAGTTGCCTCAATATAGGCACTGAACGAGAACAAAACTGAAAGCATAGGTTTGGCATTTGGTCACCAGATTTCTCCTTCATGGTAAGTAGAAGTGGCAAAACCTAGAACAGGGAAGATAACAAACGTTAGAAATCCAGCACAGGGAGCTGTTCAGTGTAGAAATACTGTGCAACACCAAGCTGGTCTAAAATACTTGAACATTCATTTGTTTGACATGCTTCCGTCCTTACACAGTTCAGAGCCAGTCAACATTTGCTTCAGTATAACTATTTCACGAAAACATTTTATGTACTCTGAAAGAAGGCAGTGATTACTGTTTACTTTTAAAGGACAGATGGTATAGTTCATAAGTACATGCTTAGAATGTATGAGACCTTGAGTTTGAGAACCAGCACACCCAAAGCTAGGATGCTAAAAATTCTGTAACCAAAAATCCAGACGTGGAGGTCAGAGGACAACTCTGTGGAGTTGTTCTCCTGACTTTAGGTGGGTTCTAGGGATCAAACTCAGGTCACCAGCCTTGCATAGTAAGCTCCTTTAACCTGCTGGACCATCTCGATTGCCCAGCATGTTTTCATTAATGAACTGCAACAGCCAGTTTTAACTTAGGACTGTAGTTATTCTTTGTTCTGTGTTTATCCTCGAAGTGCCAGTTCCTAAAATGTATGGGGAGATGTTCTTCATACAGTTCTTGAAACTTAGAGCAGACAACCTGTATTGACTGCTGGTTCATTTGATGCAAATGCTTTATTCAATATGGCTTTGAAGTTGTCAGAGCTACAATAGTGAACATAAAGCAAGCCACACTTAGAACTGAACTTTTCTTCTTATCAAGAGTCCATTGCTAAAAGGCATTGCTGATTGCCCAGTCTCCCATGTTTTTAAACTTGTAGTTTATAATCCTATAATACTTGCTGAATATCTTCCACAGCTACTTGCTGATGAAGGCATCTTGAAAAGATGTCCTTTAGAAAAATGAAATTTATTCTTACTCGGTGCATAATAGGTGTTTTGCCTGCATGTGTGTATGTACTGCTATACAGTGCATGTATGCAGTGTCCATGGAGCTTAGAAGAGGGTGTTGAGTCCCTTGGAACCAGTTACAGAAGGTTGTCAGCCTCCATGTACGTGCTGGAAATTGAACCTAGAAAGAGCAGTTGGTCCTCTTAACTGCTGAGCTATCTCCCCATCCCTGAAATTATGTACAATGAATGCGTGTGTTTTTAACATATATTAACCCATTCTTTCATTCCCATTACCTTGTTTCAAGATGGCATTATCCTACACATAGCCTATTCCAAGCGGCTCTAGTCCCTACACCTCCAAGTGTGCACCCTCCTCTCCATTGGATGGATTTCTGAATAGTAAATATGGCTTGTTAAATAGAACTCCATAGACTTCAGGAGTTTTAAGACAAAGAGTTTGGTGTTTGCCAGTTTTCTGCAAGGACTTTATTTTGACTGAGAAGAGAGCCTCAAGGCTTGCGTTGTTCCCACCCAGTGAAGTGTTTACAGGGGACTCCTTTCCCCATATTGGACTTTTGTCCCACGCTTCCCTTTTCTGTGTTTAGAAGTGACTGGCTGGCTATTTGAACTGGCGGTAGATCTTTGTATTATGTGAATTATGTTTTGTCAATGGAGCTAATTGAATTAATAGGCAGCCTACCAATGAAACAACACAGCACTGTAGATAAAATTGATGTGTTCCTAAGGAAAGAAAGTGTGGATAGTATGTAAGAAGGGAACCTACTACTTGTTCAGAACTGTGTTTCTACAGACCAAGAATTCATTTTCAGTTTAAAAACTGCAATTTGGTTCCACTGCATTCTGTTATCTCACTTTCTCCTTCCCCGAATACTGTCTTTAGAGACAGTGTCTCTTTATGTATCAGGCTGGCCTTGAGCCTCAGCTCCTCCTGTCTCAGTGAACCACCATTCTTGGCTCCTTCGCATTCATTGTACATAAAGTAACTCCTATACATTCATAAGCATGTGCACACAAGATACATAACTTGCCTTACTCAGCTATTAAATGGGGGAACCAGAATTTGTGCCATGAATGGTTCCAGGCTCTATGTCCTTTTTCTGTTTCATGTTTCATTTTTTGTATATTCAACACCTAACACTGTGTGTGCTTTAGCTTGAACTGGTGTTCATAGTTTCTGTCATTAAAAATGAGCTTTCTTCCCCTGCCACATCTTCCTTTCTTGCTGATTACTCTCAGCCAAGACCATCTGTGTTTACCACATGGGTGTCTGCCGCCACTCCAAGACAGTCACATTGCACCTTTTTATCTCCATGGGCTGAAGACTCAAGATTGGGCTGGAAGAGGAGCCACAATGCTAGGGAAATAAACTTTTACTGCAGCCAATGAGACTGCAGTAAGTTTTTATCACGTACATTGGTGTTTGGCCTGCATGTCTGTGTAAGGGAGTCAGAACCACTGAAACCTGAATTACTGACAGTTGTGAGCTGCAATGTGGGTACTGGGAATTGAACCCAGGTCCTCAAGAGCAGCCAGGCTCCCAACCACTGAGCCATCTCTTCAGCCCTGTCTTGTCTATTTCTGAAGTTGAAATTGTATTTATTTCTGACCATTGCTTATGTCTTGGTCTTCAGTTGCTTTAGTACTTCAGTATCTGCAGGGGCTATTTGTGGAAAGTCAAAAGATGGTTGTCTTGGACTCTTGAACTACAGTGAGTAACATGTCAGCACTAAGGACAGAGCGCCCCAAACCGCCTTCAAATACACGCATTCCCTTTGGGTGGTTAACGGCTGCATCTAAACACTCGTGTCTTCACGCCAAATTACTCTTTGGTGGTTTTAAATGAATGAACCCTTGCTCATAATTTATTTACCTTGCAACCTTTGTAAGTTATCTTTCATGAGAATTTCCTCACAGAATTTAATATACATAAAGTTTTCACTCAGCATTTGATCATGTTGCCTTAACAAAGGGTAAGGGTAACTACCCACTCCAGGGTAGGTTTAAGAGCTTACAGCAAGTTTTCTGCCCTACTTGACCATACTAGAGATGGCTAACCACAAAACAGGTGCAAGCTGAAGTCATAGCAAGACTCCTTCCAGAATCCACTGAAAATCTCACTTCCTTTTTGTGGTCTTGTTTGAGATGGAATCTTAGTATATTTGGAATTTTTTTTTCTGTCGTAGTTACCATATCCTGAAAGCATTATATTAGTAATTCAACCAAGAGTACTGCCACCATCATTGTCCTCCGTCCTCTGCCCTTACAATTCAGAAGTGTTGCATCTGTCACGTTAGCCTTTGTCTCGAGAAGTACATGTGGCAAGGATAATGGAGTCTATTTTTGGCTGCATAACCTTGGTTATTTATCCTAAGGTTCAGTTTCTTAATCTGTACCATGAGCGAAATTGCAGTATAGACTGCAGAGAGATGTCTCAAAGATTAAATAATAATACCCTAATTCACATAAAGGGTTTTACAGAATAGAATCCATCACTCGGTAGAGGTTTCAAGATATTTCCCTGAATATAGCTATTTTTCCTTCTCATTCTCAAGCTCCATTCACACACATTTTCTCCCTCCAGTTCCTCCTTTTGGTCGCTGGAACACGAAAGAGTCCTTTCCCCTTGGAGTTTTTACGGTGTCGCCTCCCACCGGGCTCTCCACATCCCGCCCAGTGGGCGGCTCTGCAGCCACTCGGCAGTCTGTGGGGACCGAAGGAGGGCAGCCAGCCTACCTACCGGGTTGCTGGCGCAGCACGAGGGCTAGCCGGGGAACGTCGCCCCGGCGTGCCCGGCGCCCGTGTGCCCGGCAGTCTGCGTGCTCTGGGGCACGGGAGGCGGACCTGACCGCGGGCTCCAATCGACTCTGCAGAGTTCAGAGCAGATGACAGGCTGGGCGGGAGCGTCCAGGCTGGGGCAGCAGGGCTGGGCAGGGCCTGGGACGCCACAGTCGCCACCGGTGGACCAGTGGGGAGCAGGCTTGCCTGGCGCGGCCACGGCGTGCTCGCCTGCAGGAGAAGCCGGAGGGCGGAGGGAGGCCGCTCTCAGGGGTGGGCGGGGCCGGCCGA